CAGCCCATCTCTGGCTCCACCTCCGCCCCTCCTACCAGTCTCCATGTGGCTTCTTCTTTAATTTCGTAGTTGTGGGACTTCCATTCAGCTTGATTTCAGGCGGTTTTGAAATTGGTTGTTCTGTAGTTTAGCTGTAATTTTGATGTGGTTGTGGGAGGAGGCAAGTACCGCCTTTATCTACGCCGCCATCTTGAACGAAAGTCAATATCCTCCTCTTAATGCCCAATTGGCATTAGGCAAATGCCTGATTTCTGACACTATAGATTAGCATTGACTATTCTGGAATTTCATACTATAAATTGAATCATAGGGTCTTTTTGTCTGCCCTCTTTTGCTGAACAAAATGTGTTTGGGATTTATCCATATTGCTGCTTGTATCAAGTTTGTTTTTGTTTATTGTTGTATTCCACAATTTGTATATCTAGTCACCTTCTGGTCAGCTGTCAAATTGTCAACTTGGCTAGGCTACTGTAACCAGTTATTCAATCAAACATTAATGTATGTGTGTCTGTAAGGGTATTTTGTAGATGTGCTTAACATCTATAATCAATTGCCTTTATATGAAGATTGCCCTTAGTAATGTGTTGGGGCTGATTCAATCAGTTCATAGGCCTTAAAGAGCAGAACTGCAATTTCCCTGAAGAAGTTCTGTAAACTCAGCCTCAGCTCCTGCCAGAGAGCTCCAGCCTGCTCTTCCTAATGACCTATCCTATGGCTTTAAGACTTGCCTAGCAAACCCTCATAACTGCATGAGCCAATTCCTTGTAATACATCCCTGACTGATACGCCTGTTGATGGCTGTGTGGGTAGTGCAGATTTAGACTACTCTGAGCAAAAGTGCTATGAACATTTGAGAGCAGGTCTTTGTATGGTCATCTGTTTTAGTTTTTCTTGGATAAATACCTAGGAGTGGAATTGCTGGATCATTTGGTAAGCATACACTAAACTTTATGTGAATCTATAAAACTACTTTCCTGTAGATTTTGCACTTCTACCAGCAATGTATGAGAATTTCATCTTCATCAAAACTTGGAATTGTCAGTCTTCCTAATTTTAGTCATTCTAGTGGATGTATATAGTGACATCTCTTCTGGTTTTATTTGTATTTGATGAAGAGCGATGTTGAGCATCTTTTTAAGTGTTTATTAGTCATTTGTGTATCTTCTTTTGCAAAATACCTGTTCAAATATTTTGTCTATTTTTTAAAAATTTTATCCTCACCCGAGGACATTTTTTAATATTTTGTTCAGATAGAGTGAGAGGGAGAGAGAGAGAGAGAGAGAGAGAGAGAGAGAGAGAGAGAGAGAAAATTTGACGTGAAAGGGACACATCGAGCGGTTGCCACCCACACAACCCAACCAGGGCCAGGGCCAAACTGCAACTGAGGTACGTGCCCTTAGCGGGAACCAAACCCAGGTCTCTCCAGACCACAGGCCGACGCTCTAACTGCTGAGCCAAACCGGCCAGGGCTATTTTGTCCATTTTTAAGTTGGGTTATTGAGTTGTAGGGGTTCTTTATATATCTTGGATATCTGTTTTTATCATATATATATGTATATATATATATATACATACATACATACACACACACATATATATGATATATATTTCACATATTTTTCACTCTTGTCTACATAAATTGTCTTTTCATTTAAAAAATGATACTTTTTAAAGAGAAGAAATTTAAAAATTAGATAAGGTCTAATAATTTTTTTCTTTTATACTCATACTTTTGATGTTTAAAGAAATCTTTTTTTTTGTTTGTTTGTTTTTTGTTTTTTTATCCTCACCCGAGGATATTTTTCCATTTTTTGTACAGATAGAGTGGGAGGGAGAGAGAGAAACATCGACGTGAAGGGACACATCGAGTGGCTGCCACCCGCACAACCAACCAGGGCCGGGGACAAATTGCAACCAAAGTACGTGCCCTTAGCGGGAACCGAACCTGGGTCTCTCCGGACCGCAGGTCGACGCTCTAACCGCTGAGCCAAACTGGCCAGGGCTAAAGAAATCTTTGCTTAACTTAAGGTTGTGAATGTTTTCCCCTAAATTTTCTTCTAGAAGTCTTGTAGTTTTATAAATTATTTTTTTTCTTTATTGATTTTAGAGAGAGAGAAAGGGAGAGGGAGAGCTAGAAATATCGATGAGAGAGAACACTGATTGCCGCCTCCTGCATGCCCCCCACTGGGGATTGGGCCCACAACCTGAGCATGTGCTCTGACCGGGAATCAAACCAGTAACCTCTTGGTGCATGGGTCGATGCTCAATCACTGAGCCACTCCGGCTGGGAAAGGTCTTGTAGTTTTAGCATTACTTTTACATCAGTAAGCCTTTAGAAGTTAGTTTTTGTGATGGTGTTAGGCCAGCATCAAGGTTAATTCCCGCCACCCCTCAAGTGGACATCTGTTTTTTTTAGCACCATTTTTGGAAAAAGGGTATCCTTTCTCTACTGAACTACTGTGGCACTTTTGTCAAAAATCAACCATATATGTCAGTCTATTCCTGGACTCTATACTGTTCCATTGCTCTGTTTACCCTCATGTCAATATCACACTGTTTTGATTACTATAGAGTTATAGTAAACCTTGAAATCAGGTAGTTGAGTTCTCCAACTCTGTTCTTTTTTAAAAAATGTTTTGGCTGTTATAGAGTCTTCACATTTTTATAAAAATTTTAGAATCAGCTTTTCATTTCTGCAAAAGCCTTTTGGGAATTTTAATGGATTTTGTTGAATGCATAGTTCAATTTTGGGAGAACTGACTCATAATTTTGAGTCATTCCAATGCATGAACATGTTATAATCTTTCCATTTATTTAGACCTTTAAACATTTTCCTCATAAGCTTTATAGATTTTAGTGTACAGGTCTGGCACATAGCTTGTTAAATGTATTGCTTTTTTCCATGTTTTTGGATGCTATAGCAAATAGTATACATTTAAAAAAGTCGTCTCTAATAGTTTTAGTATCTAGAAATAGTTTTTGTATATTGACCTTGTATGCTAAATTCACTTATTAGTTCCAGCAGTTTTTTTGTACCACAAATCATGATATCTGGGAATAAAGAATTTTACTTCTTTCTTTCTTTCTTTCTTTCTTTCTTTCTTTCTTTCTTTCTTTCTTTCTTTCTTTCTTTCTTTCTTTCTCCTTCTCCCTCCCTCCCTCCCTCCCTCCCTCCCTCCCTCCCTCCCTCCCTCCCTCCCTCCTTCTTTCTTCTCTTTCTTTCTTTCTTTCTTTCTTTTCTTTCTTTCTTCTTTCTTTCTTTCTTTCTTTCTTCTTTCCTTTCTTTCTTACGTGCCCCTAGTGGGAACCGAACCCAGGACTCTCCGGTCCATAGGCCGATGCTCCAACTACTGAGCCAAACCAGCCAGGGCTCCCTTTTTTTTTTGTTTAAATCTGTGTGCCTTTTATTTCTTTTTTGGTGCCTATTTGTTCTGGTGAGGACCTCAGGTGAAATGTTGAATAAAAGTAGTTAAGAGGGGCACCCTTTCCTTGTTCTTGATCTAAGGGGAAATATTCAGATTTTTACCTTTAAGTATGCTGTTGGTAGTTTTTTTCTAGACATCTTTAACAGGTTAAGAATGTTTCTTTCTATTCCTAGTTTGCTGGGAATTTTTATCATAAATGGGTATTTCATTTTGTCATGTGCCTTTTCTTTATTAAGATCAGTTCTTTCTCCTTTATTTTGTTTATGTGGTGAATTGCATTTATTGATTTTTTGAATGTTAAATCAATTTGAATTCCTAGGATCAATCCCACTTTCTTATGCTAACCTTTTTATATATTTCTTAATATGATGTGCCTGTATTTTGTTAAGGATTTTTGCATTTATGTTCATGAGGGATATTAGTCTAAAGGTTTTTTCTTTTCTTTTAATGTCTTTGTCTATCAGGGTTTTGTTATAAAGGGAAATGGTTATTTAATAAAATGATTGGGAAGTGTTCCTTCCTTTTCTGTTTTCTGACTTTTGTGCAGTTTCAGGTGATCTGACTGAAAGCAGGAAGTCTCCTTGGCACAGAGCACCCGGCCCATCTCCATACTGCCCCACCCATGCATCCTCTGCCTAGACTCAGCGGCTGCTCTATTCTGGAACCTGGGAATCATACTAGAATCCTCTTCCCTTTACTCTCCACATCCAATTGGTCACAAAGTCCTGTTGACACCCCCCCACGCCCCCCCCGCCCCAGGTATTTCTCAACTCCCCACAGCCCTTGTCTTGGTTCAAATCCTTATGTTGTGGTGCGAGAGAACCAAGAGACCACCAGAGCCAAATTAAAGCCAAATAGGGAGCAAAGCCGGCCCGTGACTGATCCCGAGTTCTCAGAGACCAGCCCTGGGGCCTCCAAATGTTGTGGTGCGACAGACCACTAGAGAATTGAAGTCCAAATAAGAGCCGCTTATGATTCCAAACACCCTGTGACAGAGTCTTCGGAATCAGCCCCGATATGCTTTATTACATGCCTTTTATACCTTGCAGAAAATAGGATCTTCTTGATATAATGCCCAGGGCCACAGCAATGCTGTATAGAATTAGTCTGCCTTACGGATAACAGGAACACCCAGGTATTTCAGTGTACATTGAGTCACACTTAGCCCTGAGCTACACAAACACAATGCAAGTCCAGTTCCTTGAGACTGTGGGGGAGATGGAGTCTCTGACTCAAGACCTCCAGGCTCCATGGACTCTGTGAGACAAGTAGCCGGCTCCCAACAATTTCTTGGTTCTGGGAGTATTCCAATTTACTGAGGTTATTTTGACTAAACAGGTTTAGTTAGCTAGAGGACACACAGTGACTTTCCCAATCATCGATTATGGAGCGGCACAATAATTTACTAATCATCAATTACGGGGTTATAAACATGCCAGCACACTTATTACCCATCAGCCGTGGTTGAAACAAAGACTGCTCACTAGACTGCTTTGCAAAGTGGCCCGCGGTGGAAATGTGTGGCTTTTGTGCCTCCTTGAAAGGTACCAGACTTTTCACACGTTTTTGCACTACCTGAGTGTTCTTCCCGCCTTCTGCCAACTGACTCGTTCTGGTAGGACTCGGCATGGGGGCCGTTCCGGACCGAGCACAGTGAGCCGCGCAGCGACCATCCTTTCCAGCCTGTCTGCACACTCCACTGAATTCTTCCCGGCCGGCCGGGGCAAGACCGTGAACAGTGTCTCTGATCACCACCGCGGGTACTGGGTGCGAGGCCACGGTGCGTGTGGACTCGAACCTCTACGGAGCACACGGTTCGGTAGGTGTCGACGGCTGCAGCAGGCCAGGTCTTCCCAAGCATGCGCGGTAAGCACCGAGCTGTCAAAGCCCCCGCTAAGGGGCGGTCAGAACTGCACCTGCGCAGGGCGACGGGCGGGGCGGGCGGCAGCAAGGAGAGGACACATCTGGGAAGCGGGCCTGCGTGCGGCGCCGTGGAGACAGCGGGGTAGGGGGCGGAGACGCTCCGCACCACTTCCGGAGCGTGGGGCTTGTCGGAAGGAAGTAGTACGGGGCAGGGGTGAACGCTCTCTCTCCTTCCTTGGCAGGGTAGGGGGTCCGATGTGGGTGGCGTTTGCTCTTTTCATTTTGGTAGAGGGCTATGACCACGAAGTGAGGTTCACCTGCCCGAACCCAGCAGCCGGGGCTCCCTGCAGGGGCTTCACCCAAAGTAGGGTGACATCGCCACCGTCCTAGATACACACCGATTTCACTCGTCCTTTTTGACTGGGGCCAGCTTGTAAGGAGCACTTCGGTTGCGGAGACGTAGGGAGTGGGGTTAGAGCTCCCTCGAACAGAGCAGGTCTAAGACGGAGGGAGACTTCAGAGAGGGGGTAGGGCTCTCTCTACCTTGGGCCTTGAAGAGAGTAGGTGGGCAAAGGGCACGACCCTGGGGACTGGGAAGCCAGGGCTCTGAGAGGGTGAAAAGGCAGGAGTAGGATGTGGAAGCGGAGATGGCAGTCACTGTCTAGTTGAACCCGAGTTCCACTGCCGTCTTTTTTAGCTTGGTTGGTAGTTTATAACTTGATTTGCTTTGTGATGAGTCCCAGACTGCAGCCCTGACCTGGGCCGCTCAGTAGTTAGAGTATCAGCCTGCGCATGGAAGGGTCGTGGGTTCAACTCCCGGTCAAGGGCACATACCAGGTTCATTCCTGGCCCCAGCCAGGGGCGAGGCGACCAATCGGTTTCTCACTCATCCCCTCCTCGCTCCCTTCTATTCTCTAAAAAACCAGTGGAAAAGATATCCCTGGGTGAGGATTTAAAAAAAAAAAAGTCCCAGACTGCAAGCTGTTGAAGGATGGGGGATTGGTTTTACGATAAATAGAAATGATGATGGCCTGTTACATTCTTTTTCTTTTAATCCTCACCTGAGGATATTTTTACATTGACATTTTTTTTTTTTAGAGTGAGAGTGAGAGTGAGAGATTGAGATTGAGACTGGTTGCCTCTCACACAATCCTGGCTGGGGATCAAACCTGCAAACAAGGTATGTGCTCTTGACTAAGAATCGAACCCACAACTCTTTGATCTCTAAGCGGACGCTCTAACCGCCTAGCCAAACTGGTTAGGGCTGGCCTGCTGTATTCTTACAGTATACTTTACCTTCATTGCACAGTATAATCAGTCTTTTAAGAGCTGAGGGGAGATGGCTTGGGTTTTGGGTTTTCTCACTTCAAAACTTTCTTACATTTGCCTACCCTTTTAAACTATCAGACTGTACAGTGGCCCCTCTGAGCTCCACCTGACCTTGAATCCAGAGATGCATGGACTTGCTTAATTTGTTATCCATGGCTAACAGGGATTAAGAGATTCCTCGCTTTTCACTCTTTATTCTTTCATAAACTAACAATGGGATGGTTTGGCCCATGTAGGTGACACTGTATGCTTGTCTGTTTCTGTTTTCATGGTTATCAAGCAGAATTTAAAATATAATTGTGTATATGATGCTTGTTAAGTGCTGTTCACTATGTTTTAGAGTCACTTTGTACTGGCGAGAGTTCTTACGCAGAAGAGTAGCAATGAGTTTGTCTTACAGATTTATTTATTTTTTTGCTTTTGCATTTTTTTCTGGTGCTTACTGTCAAAAAGGTATTTGGCCCACAGTAGATGCTAAGTATTTGGTGAATGAACAGACAAGAGTAGTAAGCCTGTGCTGAAAACCATAGGGTTTTTCCGAGGAAGGGGGAGAATATTGTAAGCTTGATTCTGTCCTACACTCTGATCACCCAATGTCCCTCTGACCGCTAATTTATTTAGCTGACCCACTGCTCCTGAAATACACCAAGGTGGCTGACCAGTGAATTCCAGGTTATCTAAGAAACCCAAGATAGGTGTAATGGACTCAGGGTCAAGCTATAGAGGCAAGAATCCTCTTAGACATAATTAATACAACCTAACTGGCAGTTGTATTATGGCTGGCCCAGTACCATTTTATCCTTTTAAACTTATTTTTAAATTATTTAAAGAACTAGGGCTTAAAAAAAAAAATCTTCATCTGAGAACATTTTTCTATTTATCTTCAGATTGGGGGTGAGGGAGAGGGAGAGGGAGAGAAAGAAAGAGATTGGTTGCCTCCCGCATGACCCCGACCAGGGGACTGAACAATCGAGGTACATGCCCTTGACTGGAATCAAACCTGCAACTCTGGTCTGAAGGCCAACACTCTAACCGCTGAACCAAACAGCCAGGGCAAGAACTAGGACCTTTTTTTTTTTTTTATCCTCACCCGAGGATATTTTTCCATTTTCTGTACAGGTAGAGTGGGAGGGAGAGAGAGGAAGGAGAGAGAGAGAGAAACATCGACGTGAAGGGACACATCGAATAGCTGCCACCTGCACGACCAACCAGGGCCGGGGACAAACTGCAACCGAAGTACGTGCCCTTAGCGGGAACCGAACCCGGGTCTCTCCGGACCGCAGGCCGACGCTCTAACCGCTGAGCCAAACTGGCCAGGGCGGACCTTTTTTTTTAAAATCCTCACCGGAGGACATTTTACCATCAGGGACAAACCGCAACTGAGGCACACGCCTTCAGCGGGAAACAAACCTGGGTCTCTTGGGACCGCAGGCCGACGCTCCAACTGCTGAGCCAAACCGGCCAGGGCAAGAACTAGGACTTTTAAATAGTTACAACTATTTACATTTTTCAAGGCTTTGTTATCAGACTTATAGCTTTTCCACAAATTTTCTTTGATCTTTTTGTTTTGGCACTTGGGCAGGTGTTTTGGTTCTCTAGATTCAATTTACATTACTCAATGACCAGAAATACTTTGGAAGGTAGCTTGTTTCTGCACTTGGTTGAAATTTCATAAGAATATTTTTCCACCTGGGGAGAAAAAACAAGTTCTTAAGAATAACTTCATGTTTGCAGAACATAAAATATTATTTCTTAGTAGGTTGTCACTGGTCATTGGAAAGTTGACACTTAGTTGAAAGTCCTTACTCTTTAAAATCTAAAAACCTAAAATCTGACCTTGGGCCAAATCCCTTGTTTGATTTATACTTTAGTAGGAATAGATAACCCTTATTTTGGCAGAGCCAACAAAACGAATACCTACATACATACTACAATTTAATAATCTACAATAAAGACTTTGGGTGTTTGGTCAATGTAAGGTGCAATTTGTCAGGAAACAATCTAAAACACTTGGCTTGATGACCATAGTGCCCAGGATAGCTTAGGAATTAATAAACTCATGTTTCAACCGAATAAAACCGCCACATGATTTCTTATGGAAGCTAAAGTTTAGAGATAACTTGGCTTTCATATTTATTGGGATGTATCATGTAAAACTGGTAACTGACCAGACAAATATACTAGTTTTTGGGTGCCCCCTCTTATAATTGTTAATTTAGCAGGAAACAGTTTTACTGTTTAAGGGTTGTACTGAGAACACCACCTCTGTTGTTTCTTGCTTCTGAAATAGTTTTTGTGGGAGGGAAGGGGTCTGTGGTTTTGCTGATCAATCAGCATCTTGGGATAGTTGGAGAATAGGGAGTCTTCTTCAGGTACTTGTGAAAGTTACTTTTTGTTATTCATTACAGAATTTGAATTCCAAGTCACTGAGGCAATGTGACTGGAGTGTTTTGCATATTAATGAAGCCTGGCCATTTTATATTGTATTACATTAAGCTTAGAGACAGACTTGGCTACAGTAAATCACTTCTATTTGCCTTTTAGCCATTAGGATACAAATTTTTGCCTTTGAAATAACTTAGCACCAAGAAGTTACCCACAAGACAGCAGACAAAGGTACCTCTAAAAAAGGTGGACAAGAGTGGCACTCTAGAGTGTGTGACTTATTGGCTATAAATCTTTATCAAGGTATGATTAGTATCTGTATCTCAATACGTCTCAATGTCCCTGACTATTATGTTCCCTCTTACCTAGAAACCACATATTATGGGGATGATAAGCAGTCCTTGTGAACTATAGTGAGCTTCATTAGATACTTCTGGCCCAAGAGGTCTGCCAAGTATTTTAGGAACTAACATTTTATCCTTGAACTTGTCGGGGTCTAATCCACATAAGAGAAGCAGATGTCAGAACACTAACAAAACTGGACTTTCTGAAATTATTGTTTCTCTGCTGATTGCCACGCTATCACGTGGAAGCTAGTAAAGAGGCAGAATGACTTCACTTTTATAGTTGTGGGCAATAGCATTTATGTGTAAATATGTACACACATCAACCTCACATTTTTAGTTACAGTTTTTAACTTTGAGTCAATATAAACCATGTTTCAAATGTGATGAAAAAAATGTACAGTCTTTATTGAAGATTAACTTGTATTATGTATGTATGTGTGTGTGTTTCAACTAAACCAGTCATACTTAAAAAAAAAAAAAAAAAAAAACTGAGCCCTGGCCGGTTTGGCTCAGCGGTTAGAGCATTGACCTGCAGTCCCGAGAGACTTGGGTTCAGTTCCCGCTAAGGGCACGTACCTCGGTTGCAGTTTGTCCCCGGCCCTGGTTGGTTGTGCGGGTGGCAACCACTCGATGTGTTCCTTTCATATCGATGTTTCTCTCTCTCTCTCCCACTCTACCTGAACAAAAAATGGAAAAATGTCCTCGGGTGAGGATGATAAAAAAAACAAACTGAGTCACTCTTAGTCCAATGAGAAGGTAACTTTACAAGGTTGATGGGTCCCTGTCATCCACTGGCTTTTAAGAGTGCATGTTTCAAACACCTTCATGTGTTTAGAGTGAGACATGTTCCTGCAGACACACTAGACTTGATTGCTGAAGCCAGGTCAGTAGAAACCATTGAAGTTTATTGGCGGTCACAATGCTTACACTGTATGCAGTAAACACCCTTACAAGTCTATCCGCAACCTGATCACGCAAGAAAGGATTCACCAAACAGTCGCCAGAGGAGAAGGAAGAAAAAATTAATAGGTTTTTTTTCTGGGAGTAGAGGAGAGAAATAAAAATAAAACCTAATTGATGAGTGTCCCATGGGCAAGAGCTGAACTAGAGATGTGTACAACTAGCAGCAACAATTGTGGAAAAAGTACAAGGCAAATAGCTTTCTCCATTCATTTTCCTCTGTAGGTTAATTTTTTTAAATATTCAAAACATTTATTATGGTTTTCATTTTATAAAAATGAATATTTTTAAGGGGATGGGAGAATGTTAAATACTTCATGCTAGGCAGACCTTGTTATTAAGAACCCCTCCACTGTAGTAACTTCCTCCAGTTCATACATTCACGAGTGCAGGGTACATATATAAATATCCACACACACACATCCACACACACTGCCTCAAGGGCTGGGGAAGACTAAAAGTTATTGGCCACACGCAGCTGGGCCTCTGGTGGACTCATCCAATTTGCTCCATAAGAGAATAACTGGCTCAATCCCTTCTCTCTGGTCTCTACCTTTATAGAGACCAGGAACCCTAAATCATAGACTCACATCCGACTTTAAAAGCAAGAGGCATCTGTCTGAGGATGAGGGTAAGCAAAGTGGGAAAAAGGATGAAGCTAAGAACACCAAACACTTTTAGCTGGAGTTGTATCACTGCAAGAGGCCGCGGGACCCAGGGCAGCATCTATGGTTGAAGGGGGAGGGATGGTGCTCCGCATGGCTTAGAGTTCCTAATAACAAGGATTATACAGTAACAGGAAGTGATAATTGGGGGGTGGGGGGGGCAAGGAAAGGGCAATAAGAAAAAATATACATTTGGAATTTTTACTTTTTCTTGCCTCTCTACACTTTGTCACTAAATATATCTCTGCACGTTCACACATCCTCGTCCAGTAAAGCTTCAGGCCACCAGAATACACATTTTTTCCTCACTCGCATACACAACCCCTCACATCAGCATTGGTGCACTAGACTCTGTAAAAATTTTTCAGTCACACATTTTTTTTTTTTAAACTTGAGTCAATATAAACCTTGTTCAAAATGTTATGAAAAAATGTACATGTTTTTACAAGGCAGGTTGTGGCAGGACACTGGGGGTTCTTCGCCTTTGGGTGGCCCCAGGAGAGGGGGCTGGAGTCTCACATATTTGTGTCTCTATCTCCTCCCACCACCCTTCCCACCCCATCCCCCAAGAACCAGCAGCGTCCTGCCCCCTAGTGAGTGCACTCACACCCCTAATTCCCTGGGGAAACAGCTAGTTGACATCTGCCATTTGCCCCACACTCCTGGAGGAGGGAGCCGGGATCAGCCAGGCCCTCTCCCTTGTAATTGTTTGCCCCTCTGGGCCAGACCAAAGGGATGCTGCTCTGTACAGTAGAGTCCGAGGAGGTGTCAGCTCATCATGTCATTGCTATTCACGCCATAAGTGGAATTCTTCATCGAGTCGTTGACTTCTCGACGGAATGCTGACAGGTTCTGGGTGAACCTAAGAGAGGGTGCATGTAGGTGGGAGGAGGATGAAAGGGAAAGGTCTTTGCTTACAGTGTTTCTAGCAGACAAGTGGCCACTGAGAGGCAGAACCGTATGGATTGATGGGTTGTCTTTCTAAGGTCAGTAAATATCAGTCTTAAGACTAAGGGAAAGTTGGGCTAGTTTTCTGCCCCCTTCTACGTGAAACTTCATGGCAGAACAAAAGGAATCTTAGCGACAGAGGCAGGAAATACCCTTCACAAAGGAAGAGGATAAAACTACTTCATTTCTTAATGCCTAAGAAACCTATGGTGTAGAGCTATGCTATCCATATGGTAGTTACTCTCTCATGTGGCTCCTGAGCACTTGAATTTTGCCCAGTGCAATGAGGAACTGATTCAAATAAAATGAAATTAAAATTCAGTTCTCCAATCACACCTTAATTAATTACATTTAAAATGTTACATCTTAAATGAAAGTAAAATAAAATTTAAAAATTAATCTAGAAAAATCTATCATTCAATTCAGTTATTGGAGAACTTCTAAGTGTGTTTGGAACAACTTCAGTATGGGGAAACACTTTGTCATCTGTAAGTTTTATGAAATCGCAATATAATTCAAATATTTTTGATGAAAATTTAACATCTGAATTGAGATGCCATGTAAGTATAAAATATATAGGATCTTGAACTTAGTACAATAAAACAAATGTTAAAATTCTCAATTTAAAAATATTAATTACACTGACATTTTTGATATAATGGGTTACATAAAATACATTAAAATAAAATTTGTCTCTTTCTTTTTACCTTTTAAAAATGTGGCTGCTTAAAATTACTTATGTGGCTTGCCTTTCTATTGGACAGCACTGCTTAAATGGCCTCTAAGATGAGGGATCTCCCTAGTTTCAATGATCTGAAACACACTCCATCGCCTAGGATTTCTTGGGCCCTGCACACTCACCTGTCTCTGTTTTTTGTTAGAAGATTTCGCTCTATGCCCTCCATCAAGTTTTCAAAACACAAATGCATAGCCTGCTGCTTCTCTGGAGGCTGGCTGTTCACGATACTGTTCCTTAGGTCAGAAAAATACTGTGGGGCCAGGAGTGAGACAGGGTAAGGAGAAAAGATGGGGAAAGGCAGATTAGTCCTCCATCATCTGTAGGGTCGAAGGAATGTTCTCCAAGAATGGAATATCTACTAAAGTCGGATAACTCTCTTTTCTTTTAATTCAAGCAAGCACTTGCAGGATAATGTATCTTTTAAAAATATATATGTTTTTATTTTTTTAGAGAGAGGGATAGATATAAACATGGATGGGCCATCTCCTGCACGCCCCCACTCCTGGCATTCGAGCCCGCAACCTGGACATGTGCCCTGACCAGGAATTAAACAGGGACCTCTCAGTCCATGGGGCGACACTCAGTCCACTGAGCCACACCAGCTGGGCAGGATAATGTATCTTTATTTCACTTAAACACCAAGAATTTAAACTCTGTAAACCCTCTAAATGTCCTATAATCCAGATTCTTCTTTTATGGAACTCTCAGCTTATGTGGTTTGTTAACAGCAGAGCTGGAGCTTTGATTTCCAAATGTACACTCTCCTTATAACACTTCCTCATCCTTTACCTTTGACCTGTCACGTGCTGACCTCCACCAGGTAAGAGATTATTGTTCAAAGCACAAATATCTCACCGTGGGATGTTTCTGTATTTCTCACAGTGTCCTGAAAAAATGTGCACCTACCTGCTTCTGGCTCAGGGTATCAAGGAGCCAGCTTGCTTACCTTTTCATTAAGTAGTATCAAGCCAAGTAGGGGTCGGGACATAGACCATTGGTTCCTACAGTCTTCAAAGATGATGATGTTCAGCACTGTTGACAACATCTGGAAATGGAGAATGTGAAGCAGTGACCTAGTGGTGATTACCCAAGACAGAATTACAGATTCCAAATAAAGAAGTTTATTAGGGTGGAAGCCTTTTTTGTCTAGGGTAAACCAGACAAATATTTCGTGCAGCTTCATTTTAATTTTCTACTACAAGGTAAGTTTTTCTTCTAAGAAATTTCCTTTTTTGTTCTTTAAATTGGTTTGATAATTCATTTTAAAATGGACCTCCTCAGTTCACCCTGATTCGTGGAAAATGGGATCAGTCAAGCAATGATTATAGTGCAAAATCACTTTGTACTGTAGCTCCTTGCACTTATCTCAGAGGAGACAGCTTTATAACATTTTGGGGGTGTGATGGGAATGTGAATTATTTCACTGCTTCCTTAGAGAATAATGTAGAAAAAGACGAGATATGGGAGTAACAAGCTTTATGGCTGGACTCTGCTAACTCATGCTCCATTTATAGCCACAGGGGAGCAAAGTCATTGTTATGGGAGGAGGATAGTGCTCATGGGATAGGCCCAAAGCACAGAGGTGGTTGTGACACTCAGATTTCTATATCCGATGATTACTCTGCACACACAAAATCTATCCTAATTTTAAGGTATAAACTTCACCCAGGCAGCATTAGTCTGGTGAGGTATTAGTCAGACTCATTACCTTGCTTGGCCTCTCCTCTCTTGAAGAGAGATTCCTTTCCTGTGGGACACCCCACACTGCCTACTAACTAACCCTCACGTTATTTACCTGCTGGATCATCTCTGGATGTTGCTGCATGATATGCAGAAAGCGGTCACTCTCCTGGTTCAGAGGTGTTGTCCTCTTCTTGGTGCTACGCGACAGCTGCTTGAAGAGGTATGTCACAATGTGGTCCAGGCAGGAGCAGCAGCCTGTGCATACCATGGTGTCTGGAACAAGGGGTTGGGGTGGAACACAGCAGAGACACTGATGGTGACTTGGGCAAACACAACTGCCCTTAGCTGAGATCACAGAGGCACCCAGCCAGACTGGGAACCGTGACCAGGTCAGCCAAGGCCACTGCTCGGTATGCTTTCTGTTAACCTCTCACCCTTAACATAGGTCAAATTCTAAGTTTGAAAGTGAGTGTGTGATAATACTATAAATAAATATTATTGAAATTAATGACTCAATGTAGTGTGGATATATGTCTTCTGCTTCTGTTTATAAAAAATAAACAGCTCACATGTAGCAAGTACTTTTATTGTGCCAGATACTGTGTTAAGGACTTTATAGATACAATCTCTAATTTATCCTCTCAAGAACTTCAGGAGATAGGCATGCTGTTTTACAAATGAGTCAAGTGAAGCTTGGAGAGGTTCTGACTTGCCTCAAGATTACACTGCTAGTGATGAGAATCCCAGAAGTCTGAGCTGTGAGTTACCTGGGGATGGCATTAAGCCCAGCTAAGTATGGCCTACTAACACCTGCAATTTGTTAGTGGGTTGCTGTATGATTCATTGGTCTCTGAAGCACATCGGCGACTGCAGTTGGGGCTGTAGACTCATCTGTGCATGTCACAGAGATGACACTTAAGCACAGCCTGTGCACAGAGCTCTGAACCCGGAGAGGCACAGGCTGGGGACTAAGGGATGAGCCCTTAAAGAGTAACCCTCCATTTTTAAGAAGTTATAAAGCAGCCTTCCAAAGCAGGGTCTGCTACCCTGGCTGGACTGCCCTACATATGGCTGTGCACCCAGCTGATAACCCAAAAGTCATTCTATGAATTTGCAATGTATATTTACTTTGTAGTTGATTTAATCTTCCTATTTATGTTTTGCTCAGCCTAATATAAAAGTGTATTTTATTCTGAACACGTACAAAAATTGCTGGAAGGCATCCTGGGGACAGAATGGTTGACAGGAATCAGCTGGAAGAGGATGGAAAACTTACGGAGTGGGCTGTCTAAAGCTCTCTCATAGCCTCGCCGCCTCAGGACAGAACCCACACACTCTGATATGGCTCAGGGCCGCCCTTGTGATCTCCAAATGTGCCCTGCCTGTCTCTCTCCAACTTCATTCCTCTTTATTCTCTTCGGCACCGATGTGCAGACATCTGGATTTCAGTTTTTCTTGCCTCTAGGTTCTAGTACTTGTGGTTCCTGCTGCCAGGAAGCCTTCCCCACTAACCTGGTAACACCTGTTCAGCTTTTAAGGCTTACACTTTGATATCAGTTCTTTCGTCAGTTTTCCTTGACTTCCCTCCTGAAATCCAGGAGTTTAGGGGTGCGTCCTGAGAGCTCCCACAGAACTTCCCACTACTGTCCTGGGTAAGTGAATAGGCAGTTGTCTGTTTACATGTCTGTTTCATTCACAAATAAAAAGGTCTTAACAGATAGGGTCTATGTGTTACTAATTACTGTATCCTCAGTGCTTAGTATATGCCTGGTCCTTAGGAAGGAATAAGTGAGTATGTGCTGGATGAGAATGTACCCAAGAGTTATGTGCTCTGTTGGTAGGCCAATTCCCCACAGCAGTAATCCTTTGGATACTGGGGCAAGATATTCGCTTTCTGTTAAGTGGTAAAAACAAACCTACCACCCCAGGTGCTTACCAAGTGCAGTAAGTCCTTCAGATATGGAAGAGAGAATATACATGATGACGTGAGGTTCCAGGCTAGCAATAAAGTTCATGTGGTCCTGTGTCAGGACTTCCAGTAGTGAATAGTAAGACTGGCTGAGCTTGGGGTAATCCTGGGGAAAAACAGGAAAACAAAAATCAGCTTAGGCGCTGTGCACCTCAGTATGCAGGGAGCAAGATCTTAAATAAAAGAGCCCAGTCCCTTCAGATGGGGAAACAAAAGATGTAGTTGGAGCTAGCTTATAGTTCTCCAGAGAACTGTTCAATCATAGTGTCAGGCCAAGAAAAGACTGCACATGAAGGGTCAGAGCCTGTCCATGAAGCTTAAGGCTTACCAGGAGATCACTGTGGGGAATGGAGAGAAGCAGCTTGATGAAGGTCTGGAGAGCATTGTCCAGGGCATCGTCTCCATAGAGACGAAAGACTCCAAAGTTGACATAACTCCCACTGAGAGCAGCCTTCAGCATGGAGAAGCAGATGGAAATGCCCTTGAGCTTCAGTGCATAGACCTGATCCTTTGGGACCTCTCCTAGTGTCAGGATGCGATTGCCTGAGTAGACATGTGATGTATATATATTTACTTAACGACATTACAATGACTAGTTTATAGACCAACTCAGCCATCCCTCTCCAAAGCCCGTGGTGCCAGCTGACATTGCAGCACAAACGCATGAGCAATAGCACACACAGCAATGCTGTTCTGGCCACCGCAGAGCCAGCTGAGACCTATACACATCGAGTGCGGAGATGGATCTGGAACTCACTTTCAGGGCTATGCTCCTCTAAACCACTTACCATACATTGTGATCATCTTGCTAGTTTCTCTGAAGAGTAAAATGCCATTGGGGGAAGAGACATCAAACTGGAGTCGCTGGGATCTGGGCAGAGAACAGAGAAGAAGAGAAAATCAGAGGTATGCTGCTAGAAGACTGGGGTACTCCAGGCTCTCACCTCAGTATTATGGGTGATTCCTGTGCATCATGATGTGCAAATTCCCGCCCTGGCTGGTTTGGCTCAGTGGGTAAAGCATTGGCCCGCAGACCGAAGAGTCGCGGGTTCAATTCCGGTCAAGGGCACATACCCTGGTTGCAGTTTGGTCCCAGCCCTGGATGCAGTTGTGTGGGATGCAACCAATTGATGTGTCACATCGGTGTTTCTCTCTCTCTTCCTCTTTCTCTCACTCTATCCCTCCCTCCCACTCTATCTGAAAATAAATGGAAAAATATCCTCGGGTGAGGATTTAAAAAAAGATGTACAGATTCTCTATCCTAATGTGAAATAACCAAGTTGATCAAAGATATTTAATCAGTGATATAGCTTATCTCTCGAAGACCAACATGCTAGATTCAAGTTTTGCTGCTTAAATTGAAAACATTTAAAGGAAACAAAAAAATGAGGCAGTAGGTAAGATTATTCTTAAAATTGTTTTATTTAATGAAAGCAGCGCTTCTACCAGCATCACTTCTTGGTAGCACTAATTCCCAGCCTTTAGACATTAATCTACATTTACCTTTATAGCTTTGGTGGCAACTAAGGGAGGGTGCACGCACTGTGACTTTACATGGAGAGAAGCTGCAAAGGGACTGGGGAATGACACAAGTCAGGCAGGGAAGGCAAACATTTTGAACCAACTGGAGCTCTGAGTTCCTGACTGGTTCCCTAGACCAGAGCAACTTCTCCTTGATTTGCTCTGCCTTTTAATGAGTTTTACTGACTGTAGTTGTAGGGTCTCATACCCAGGAGTCCTTCCTTCCATCCCTCCCCATGCTGAGTCCATCCAGATCTAGTCTACAATATGCCGAGTGCTTCCACTCTCCCTGCTCACAGTCTCATTCTTCACAGGGTAGCTAAAACGGTACCTTTAAATAATGCAAATGAAATCACTTTAATTTCCTACTTACAATACTTCAGCAGCTTCCCACGGTAACGGGAACACATGTCCACTCTTTTTTTTTTTTTTTTTTTTTTATATTTTTTTTTATCCTCACCCAAGGACATTTTTCCATTTTTTGTTCAGGTAGAGTGGGAGGGAGAGACAGGAACAGAGAGAGAGAGAGAAACATCGACGTGAAAGGGACACATCGAGTGGCTGCCACCCGCACAACCGACTAGGGCCGGGGACAAACTGCAACCGAGGTACGCGCCCTTAGCGGGAACCGAACCCGGGTCTCTCAGGACCGCAGGCCGATGCTCTAACCGCTGAACCAAACCAGCCAGGGCCATGTCCACTCTTTACTACAGTGCTACGAAGTCCTGTAGGCTCGGCCTCTGCCTGTCTGCTCGACACTGCCGGCCATGGCCTCTCTCATTCACCATGTTCCCTCCATTGGCATTTTTGTCTCGAGTCCCCGCAAGCTCATCATTATCTAGACTTTTGCAGTTGTTTTCTCTGTTTAGAATGCTCTTTCCCCCGTCTCTGCAGGGCAGCCAGAATTCTCCTTGTCATTCAGATCCCAGCTTAAACATCACCTCTCTGACCCCCGTCTCCTTCAATTCCTTTGTTTTAGTACCGTATTTTTTCCCTAGCCCTTTCCACTATCTGAAATGGTTGTCCAGCCCTGGCCGGTTTGGCTCAGAGGTTAAAGCGTTGGCCTGCGGTCTGGAGAGACCCGGGTTCGGTTCCCGTGGGGGGCACGTGCCTCGGTTGTGGTTTGTCGCGGGTCCTGGTTGGGTCCTGCGGGTGGCAGCCACTCGATGTGTCCCTTTCATGTCAATGTTTCTCTCTCTCTCTTCCTCTCTCTCCCTCCCACTCTATCTGAACAAAAAATGTCCTGGGTTAGGATTAAAAAATGAAATGGTTGTCCATACTTGTTTTACTGTCTGTCATCCCCTGAGAATGTAATATCTAAGGTTTTGTCTAGCACAATAGCTTAGGAAATTGCCTGGCAAAGAGTAGATGCTCTCAAATACCTATTTTATAAATGAGTAACTCCTGACTATAAGCCCCATGGGAAGTAACATCTTTGAATATTACCTACTCCCCCACCAAGGTAGTTTTAAAAATTATTCTCTAAGGAGTGCCACAAGAGGCAGATACACAGATCTGAAATTCTACTTAAGTTAAAAGTGCTGGATTTTTCTTTTTCTCCATCCCTAAATCATTGGGAAAATCTAACAATTAGGTATTTTAAAATTTGTTCTCACTTTCTTCTTTTTTAAAAAATCCTCAACCGAGGATATTTTTCCATTGATCTTCTAGACAGAGTGGGAGGGAGAGAGAAACATTGATGTGAGGGAGACAAATCGATTAGTTGCCTGAAACACGACCCCCAACTGGGGCCAAGGATTGAAACTGCAACCCAGGTACATGCCCTTGACCAGGAATCAAACCTGCCACCCTTTGGTCTGTAGGCCAACGCTCTAACCGCTGAGCCAAACTAGCTAGGGCTCGCTTTCTTTTAAAGTAAATCTTTACTGACCCAGCTGTAAGAAAGGGTATTTTAATGTGTCCCACATCCCTCTCAATTGTCTCTATGAAATGTGATGGGCATGGCATCATTACCCAATGTTAACTTTTACGTGTGGGCAGGGAAATCAAAATCTTGGTTGCCAAATTCACTTCTCATAAGAATGTATAGTGTGACACTGTCTTTAAAGTGACTTATTTCCTGAAAATTTTGATAGCAGTGAACCGTATCCTCTTCCACAATCTGCTCAAAACACCAGATAAAGCAAATTCTCTTAGGGCTGTCCCAGCTAAAAGGGCAGTTGTGCCCCTTTACAATCTTCCTCCTCCTTACCTGTTATGAACTAATTCAGCCATCAGCTTGAGCACAGGTGTGGTACAGGCCGGATCATGGTACCACAGCTCAATTGCCCGCTGAAGAATCGGCATGTAGGATGGGTATCTGTAAATGAAAAGCTAAGGAAGAATTTTGAATCCAGAGAGGTACAGAATTTAAAATAATTTCTCAGCTCTGGCCAAGTATACACTGTCAGATTACAGTTCTCTAATATCCTGTCTCTTGCTTGCTAGTCTTGGGAGTCTTTCTAACCAGAAGGTGCTCAAGTGACTGTGTGCCCTTTAACTTGTAACAGGTACCTAACAATACACTGTCATTTACATAATGCCTTTCTTCTGAAGAGCACAGTGCATTTCACACTGTTATTTACTCTCTTACCACTTGTGTATAACTGGGAATCAGCTATTTCTGTTACACAACATTGGAGAAATAGGCATTCAGATTTGAAATGATCTGTTCAAATTATGAAGTCAGTAAGGTTAAATTTTATAATTCCTAGTAAAGCTGTCTTTTAGTAGATTGAAGTGTTTCTCTTTCTTAAGTGTAGTAAAATTTATGTGCAAAAGTTCCATAGTGGGATAGTTTCATAGGCATTTATATCTGGGACTAAAAGAGAAACTAGGAAACTAACTCCTTCATCTCTCAATCTCAATGGCCAGAGCAGACAGATTATGTCATCAGACCATTATGGAATGGTGGTTTATAAGATATATACATGCCAGGTCTTCTGGGTAACTCTTCACCTTCTTTGCCTTACCACTCACTCCTCCCCACCTCCTTCCCGGATGACCCCATCGCTCATTCAAACTTCAGTTAAGGCTAGCTGTGATTCATGTTAGGATACATCCATTCAAACAGCATCATGAAGCTGGTCTTGGCATTGAAGGCAAAAGCTATCCCTCTCAGGTCTCTTACCAGGCCAACTAGAGTTCGCTGTTGTAGAAGGCAAAAATATGTTAAAAATGGAAGAAAAAGTAAACCTATAACCAACCACCTGATGGGGACTTCACATATCTGTAATCAGATTCTTCCTCCCATTGTTCAACAAATACTCCTTCCCAGAAATCTTACTTTTTGTGACAGCATGGATGAACCTGGAGATGATTATGCTAAGTGAAATGAGCTGGTCAGAGAAAGACAAATACCGTACGATCTCATACATGTGGAATCTAGTGAACAACATAAACTGATGAACAAAATAGAAACAGGCATGGATACATTGGAACAGATTGACAGCTGTCAGAAGGGAGGGGGAATGGATGAAAGAAGGGGAAGGGATTAGCTAAAAAATATATACATAAGGAAAGGGGGTTGGGGGCTAGGTGGAGGTGGGCAAAGGGAAGGAAAATAGGGATGGAAAGAGACTTTGCTTGGGGTGATAAGTGCATGATGCAGTGTGCAGACAATGTTTTATTGAGTTGTACACTTGAAACCTATATGGTTTTGAGAAACAATGTCACCCTAATAAATGCAATGAAAACAAACAAACACTTCTTCCCAAATATTCAGAATCGATTTCTTCCATATTAGAATGAAATTTTTTACCTTGGAAAATTAGTTTTAGAACCTTATTATACTATGAAAAAGGGATGGTCCCTAGCCCATCACAGCAAAAATAGAGGCTGACAAAGTTTTAAGATATCAATGTGATAAATCATGTAAAAACTGAAAAGGGCAAAATGAAGAGGTAGAAGAATCACATATCCTAAAGGTCTGGCACCACACCTAGTGACACAGTAATATCAGCAGCACCAGTGCCCCTCAAATGCAGACCCTGCCAGGAGGAAGACAAAGGAGTCGACAGGGTTCCTGGAAATAAGACTGATGTGTCAAATCTTGGAGCTGAAAAGTACTACACGATACTTATTCAGAAAGAGACTGACGCCCAGAGAGGTCAACTAACTTGCCTGTAGTCATGCTGCTAGGTGGCAAGAGGGCCAGGATTAGGACTCATAGCACCAAGACTCCAATCCAGTGCTTTCTTTCTCAAAAGAACTTTGACTTGTGGTCCCTGAACATCAGTAAGACTTCCTTTAAAAGCTAACAGTCATCAGTAGGCTCAAGGAGGTAGCACATTTGTGTATCCTGACTCATTTGTTAACTCATCTGTACTTCTGCTAATAGCTTGCTTTAAGCAAACAGTTCTATCCCTAAACTGATACCATGAGCTCACTTTTCAGGTCTAAGACATGGTTAGTCTAGAAGACTTGTTACATCAGGCACAATACAGTTCTGGTAACAGCTGTAGCTCCTGGACGTGATGGCTCTTCTCACTAATTCTGCTTGCCTGCATTTCTGATGTGCCACACTAACTTAGCTTTGAATGGTGCCCATCTCAGACTCCAAACACTGATAGGAAAAGGAGAGATAGGTGGACCAAGTGGTGTTGCTGACTTCCCTGCTGACTTGGAGACAGAAAACAAAGAGGCTTTCTAAAGATGAAAAGGAGCATCTGAGAATGCCAGGTAAAACCTGGTATCTTGGGGGGCAATACCCATTTGGTAGCTCCAAAATACGCCCTACAAATCATAATAGCACAGTGTCTTCTGGCTTTGGTATAGAGATCTATAAGTAAGAGGTGTTGATGTGCGTGAAGTAAAAACTTGAGGAAAGCAAAAATCTAAAAGTGACAATTTTGCCCTCGCTGGTGTGGTTAGGTTCTTTGGAGCACCATCCCAAACACTGAAAGGTCGCAGGTTCAATTCCCAGACAGGGCACATATCCAGGTTGTGGGTCTGGTCTCCAGTTGGGGCATGTACAAAAGGCAACCACTTGATGTTTCTCTCTCTTCCACTTCATCTCTCTAAAATCAATGAACATATCCTTGGGTGAGGATTAAAAAAGAGTAAAAAAAAAAAAAGACAATTTTGAAAGCCAGGAATCAATAAGAGTAACTTTAAAATTCCATATATATGGAAATTCATAAACCCTTCTAAATGATTCACGTATCAATAAAATCTTAATGGAAATTAGAAAATCAAAAAAATTAATGATAATAAAAATGTTACAAATCAAAACTTGTGGATTCTGGAGACCTGTTCTACAACAATGTGAACCTACTTAATGCTCCTGAACTATATACTTAAATATGATTACATGGTATATTTTATGTTATATGGTTTTTTTTAAACCACAATTTAAAAAACAACTTCTGGAGTAATATACCTAGAGGGACATTTATAATCTTAAATGGTTTTATTAGGAAATAGGACTGAAAAGTTAAGTTGGAACAGAATAACCCCAACAAAAATACATAAATACAACGATTAAAAGTAGAAGTGAATGAAATACAAAACAGTAAAAAAAAATATAAAGACTAATGAAATTAAGCTATCTCTGGCAGGACTGATAAAGAAAAAAGAGGAAGCACTAATAAGGAGTATTAAAAATGAAGAGGAGACATAAACTCAAGATACGACAGAGAATAATAAGTCAATGTAAATACATAAAATAACTTTACGCTCATACATTTAAAAACTTAGACAAAAAAATCCTAATGGCTGCTTTAACGTAAATATAGTTTATAAATCCATACTGAGTCCTCTATTTCAAAATCCCAGGAGTCCAAGAAATTAAATAAAAAGCTAAGTCAGTGGAAAATTTATGGATCAGTACTATTTTCTGTATTGCAATCTAATCTAGTCTCTATCAGGGACCGCTCTCAACTAGAAGCTAACCAGTCAGCAGGTGAAGGACTCACCTTTGCCTCTTGCTCATTGAAACTATTCGTGCTAAACATCTGGGCCACAGCCTCAAATGCTGCTGTGAGTGGCAGCATGAACTGCTCATACTGATCTTCATCCTCTCCTACAAGGGAAACAAGCAGGACGTGACCTCAATATACAAAGCTCAAAGCTGTGTATACATGGAAAATAAAATGGAATGAAAGACGTGCAGATCCCAAGGGTAAATCAAGGGGCCCTTTATTACCCCAATTCATAGTAATTTCAGAATAAAATGTATATAAGTTTTTAAACTAGACAATAGCTGAAATCGTGTCCAGAATGTTCACATTTTTTCGACACTTAGTGATAATTACCAGAGATTCATATGTATGTGTACAAGGTACTCTGGTATTTATTTTTCCTTAAGTGAGAACTATAGTCAACTGAGAAAGAACTGAGTGCTGAGTGAGAACTAGATGTGACTTAAACTTAAAACAGGTGCATGTAGAGGCTTTATTCACATTTTCCTTTTTTCAGTAAACTTTCACAAACCTAAAACATTTAATGTCATTGTAGTAGGATTAAATTTAAATAGCTCAAAATTATGATGATGCTATTCTGTTTCAGGTATTTGCTGACCATAAACTGCTACTATCACAGCTAGAGCTAGTAAGGTGCTTAAGCCCACTGGGTTCATATGTGCTACTGAACTGGGAAATAAAGGTTTTGTGGGGTTATATGACCAACAAGATTCATTTAGGAATCTCAATTCCCAATTCCCTTATTTTACAAATGAGAAATATGGGCAGAATTTTAAAACCACTGCACATCGGCCGAAAACTTCACGTGCATACTGTTACTCTCTTCCAAATACAGGGACCACAATTGCACAATGTACTCTTGGTGAAGTCAGACTATTATTTCAGATAGTTTTGTTCCTGTTGAAACATCAGAAAAGAACCCCCACCCCCAATCTGGTTTTCTATCCTCAAGTAGAGATTTAGAACAATGTCAGATTACTTCATAAGCTTCTAGGATTTATTGCAGTACCTAAATCCACCATGAGGAGACGCCCAAGTGCTGTGTAGAAGGTAGTCCGACATCGCATGTCTGTCAGGTTGGACTGATTGTTAATACCCAAAAATGAAAAGTGCTCACTCTAATGAAAGAGAAAACAAGTTAAAACGATAAAAACATGGGTTAGAGGCAGAATGCAAGCCAGTAATTTTAGAACTACTTAGCCCTTTCAAGCTAATGGCTACATCATCATTCCTTATGGGTATAAGGGCTATTTTAAAAACTACTTTTTAATTTGTTATTGTTATCTACAACTAATTTATCTTAGTGTGAAGAACAGTAGGCGACATCACCATAACTTATGTTATATGGAGTTAAAGAGCAGTTCTGAGGACAGGGAAGTGTAAGCTGGCAGTGTGGTGGGAGTTGGAAGTCTTTGGCTGGGGAGCAGAAGCAGGAAGAGGGGCCAAGATAAGATCACTCACCGTGTGATTGTTCAGCATGAACTGTACCGCACTCAGTTTCACTAGTTTCCTTACACTACTGTATGTAAAGACAAAGGAAGAAGGTCAAGGAAAGTGTAATGCAAACCAAGAATCTTTAATGTGGAATAAAACTGTACTTCATCCTAAGTATAGTTTCTTTACTATGAATCTCATACCCAGATAATCTTATTTTTCTTAACCAGTTGAGTATAACACTGTCAAAGGGGAAAAAAAATGTGTTCTCTTCTAAGCAGTATTTAACTGAGCAATTAAGAGAATACCCATACCAAACTCCTTTTTTTAATTTTTATCCTCACCCGAGGACATTTTTGCATTTATCTTCAGGTAGAGTGGGAAGGAGAGGGGGAGGGAGAGAGAGAGAGAAACATTGATGTAAGAGACACATCAACTGGTTGCCGAGGCAGGAACAAACTGCAACTGAAGTACGTGCCCTTAAGGGAACCGAACCCGGGACCCTCAGGCCTACGCTCTAACTGCTGAGCCAAACCTGCCAGGGCCCAAACTCTTATCTGTCAGAAGACAGATAAAACTCAGAGTTTCCCCAGGAACCATACGTATCCTAGAGCAGCTTTTCTCAAGGAGGCTTCTAAAGCACTACTGAGGCAGCCAATGTGTGTGGTCAATCGGCTTTCTCTCCAATCACTTAGGATGGTACGAGCTATATACAATCTTTGGGAGAACTGAGAAAAAAGTCACTCAATAGTTTTAGGGTTTACTTCTTTTGCAGATCCCTGGCTGTGAGAGGTTGTCTTAGAGCAATTCCAACTTTACAGGAGACCTAGTCCAAGTCTAGAGAAAGCAGAGCCACTACTTTTATTGCAAAGCCTGTAATCAGGTTGCTTCTAGAGATAGCCAGGGATAAATCTGTAGTAAACTATTAAGCTTGTGGGTTGGCTCACTTCTGGGGGCTGGAATTATTCCTGGATTCTGTGTGGGCACTGCTTTTGGTTCCTAGGAGAATGAAAGAGACTTAACTACACATAAAGCTAAATTAAAGTGGAAACAGCAGGCGGCCATGATTTCTAAGAGGCGGCATACCACGGTTCCCATGGTGCACAGAAGCGGGCTTAGAAAAGGATATCCAATGGAGAGGTCATTGAGAAGCTGTAGTGTCTTGGAGGTGATTGGTTCACAGCGGCCCCAGTACTTGAGGTTGGTGATGCTGGAGAACAAAAAGAAAAAAAAACAGGAGACACTTTTGATTTGCCTGATTTCCTTGAGAGCTGGGAGAAGAAAATCACCCATCACGAATCACCACACATCTGCATCACCAATTCACAGACATCACAACCACAAAAAATGGGTATAAAATCTCCGTACTTACATTTGGTTGACTAGAAAAATTATCCTTCAGATAATCTTCACTACTTGGTTCCAAAGCTACACTGGCCCATACCCAGGCCCTTGGAATTCTGGGGCACTCCAGGGCTGATTTCTGCAGCAAGGGTAAGAGATTTCTGCGGCAGTGATAACATGCAGACGTATGCAATTCTGCACCTGCACCATCCACTGTCAGCTGCAGAATTCTAGTAGCCCTTGCTTCTGAATTCTTGGCTGGCAGAGTCCTTTAGACCCCCTTTACTTTTTTTCATTTTAAATTATTAACCAGCTCATTGATATGAGTGTTTAGGATTGAGATGGTTGGAAGGAAGCAAAATGTCAACTTTGCACACAGCCCTGGGTAATTTGGCTCCTAGAGTGTGCTTTGATAAATTGAGCTCCAAAGAAGGGGAAAATGTACACAAAGGGGCACAACTTAAAAAAAAACAAAAAAACAAAACAAAACAAAAAAAGGGCCAATTAGGAGCTTTCTTCCTTCCAACTTTGAAGACAAGTCAAACAATAGCATTAGATTTTGGAGATTCAAGGCTCTCAAAGGGTGTGATTCTTCTTGAGAGGAATAAGCCTGTTTTAAAGTGGGGCTCTCCTCCTGGGGGGCATGTCTAGTGAAAATCAGCACCAGAAGGCGAGTGCCCACTCTGGGCACCCCTGGCTGCAGGGTGATCGAGAGGCTGAGTGAGCACCAATCACTGGGGAGGCAGGGCCGTTTTGCTAATGCCACGACAGGGTTTCATCTGTGATTCCAGAGGCTTTGAATGAGATTCCACATAAACAAAATTAAATCCTTGCCTGTACAAGCCTGGAATGCTCTGGGGCCGGGCCATATCTCTAAGCACAGCTTGTCACACACTCAAAATGCACAATTTTCTGACGCAAACGATCAATACTGGAATACCAAGGCACTGGCAGCACAATGCCAAGATCACATTTTACAGTTGCAACAGGATTGCAAGGGACTCTTGCTGATGGCAAGCCAAAACACTTACATTTTTCCGATGAAGACGCTTAGGACCATGGTCTCATCATTCAACCCCAGAACTTCTGAGAGTCGGCGGTACAGCTGGTGTTGTGTTGAGAGAAGAGAAAGTAACCAGAAAATACTGATTAGAAAAATCACACCCCAGAACTGTTTTTGTCCTCATTCAGGGGGTAAGATGTGGGAAGAAAATGTACAACAATGCCAAGGAAGTCTTGATTGAAGTGATAAGCTACTTTCTAAGTATTACTAAATACTGCATAGATGTTGAACTATTTTACAGCCCCTTTCAACCCCGAATTTACAAAGGACTGACGAATCCTGCTGTTCTGAACATCAATTTATGAACAGAGACTGCGAACTGACAATTCTGGGAACATCAACGTATATTTTGAATGGCCATATGGAGCACTACAGAAATGGGCCCACTCCACTGTTTGATGAGTCTCCCAATTGTCTCCTAGACTAAGAGAAGACAGTTGGACTATCCTGATTTGTAAAATCTGGAGACTGTATCCAAACTGTTACCAGCCGTTTCCCTTGATCAGCAATTACACAAGCAGAAGGGAGAACCAATAGACGACCGAGAGCCTGTTACCTTAGAGGATTTTTGCACCTGGTCCCCAATGTAGATCTTACGAAACTGTTCAAAAAAGCTCAGCATGGCCAGTTCTAGCTTCTCGTTGCCTGCCTGAGCCAGGCGAGAATCTGTGAGGTTCATCAGCTGGAGCACCCTAGAGGAAGAAGAGCAATGGTTCTCTCAACAGCAGGATATCCTAGTCACTCTAGAAACAGTTATACATGTCTCCTCTCCTTCCCACCCTATTTGAAAAACATTCTCTGCAGGCTCTAAGTGCTGTGGGGGAAACAAAAGTCTCCGCTTCTGCCCTACAGGAACCATAGCCAAGAAATGAATATGAATGACTATTTAGATGTTTAAAACTTCCAACCCACTGAGACTGTAAATTGAGGCAGAACTTGTAATCAGCTTAAAAATAGTAGGGGGAAAAAACCAACTAGTACTACAGTAATGGTCATCCTCAAAACTTCTGTGAGAACTTGAATAAAGCAATTTATTTTCTGAGTCTCCATTCCTCATCTATAAGATGAGGGAGATTGAATGAAACCAGTGGTTCTCAATCTTTTTTGTCAGAGAGCCAGAAAAGAAATGAAGACACTCGAAGGACAATGTTCACAACACTTCCAGGGACCAAGAGCAGACATGTGAGTTCATCCCTTTCCCTGCACCAGTTCCCCAAAGGAAGCATACTGGAGTGCAAGTGAGTGAATGTTGAATGAATAATAATAATGTTATCACAAGTGAGTCATCTGACATTTTGATGTGAGAACAGGTAACAAACTGTGTGACGTGTCACAAGTGAATTAGACTCAGTCTTCATGCTGCAACACTCAGCCGAAGAACTGGTACAGAAGAGACTGTCAGACTCAATTTGTATTGTGACACAGTATCACACCAGGCTGCAAACTCAAAGAGGTATGAGAGGTCATCCTTAGCTAAATCTTTGCTTGACTCTCCAAAAAATGCCAGTGTGACATGCTGTGAAGACTTTTGTCAGGCACCTAAGGGCAACGGGCATCTGATAAACAAAATGGGGGTAGAAAGAGCTAAATGGAGATTTTCAGAATATGAATAAGGATTATGGATTAAAACATCTGGGAATCAATAAATTCTAATGCATCATGTTAAAATGTATTTATCTCTAAGGAGAGCATCAGAAAGTTTAGAATCCTTCAGAGTAGCAGTTCTTTGAAAGGCCACAAAACCATTTCCAGCTCTGGCCGGTTTGGCTCAGCAGTTAGAGAGTTGGCCTGCGGTCCGGAGAGACCTGGGTTCGGTTCCCACTAAGGGCATGTACCTCGGTTGTAGTCTGTCCCCGGCCCTGATGGGTCATGTAGGTGGCAGCCACACGACGTGTCCCCTTCACGTCAATGTTTCTCTCTCTCTTCCTCTCTCTCCCTCCCACTCTATCTGAACAAAAAATGAAAAAATGTCCTCGGGTGAGGATAACAAAACAAAACAAAAAACAAAACATTTCCATAAAAATGCTAAAACATTATTTGCCCTTTCACTGGAATTCTCGTATGTGGGTGTAGTGGGGTTTCCTAGAGGCTACAAGGCGCATGATTTCACAACAGACTGAATGGAGAGGCAGGTATGAGAATCCAGCTGACTTCTATGCTAGATAATAGAACATGACCACTCTTCTCATTAGTTTTTTTGGGAAAATAGTTATTAAAAATATTCTTTATATTTTTGACACGTAATTGTGCTTACTGTTTTAAAATGAATTATAAAAAATTTTTCAGTCCTGGCTGGTTTGGCTCAGTGGTAGAGTGTCAGCCCGTGGATCTATGAGTCACGGGTTTGGTTTTTGCCAAGGGCACGTACCTTGGTTGTGGTTCGTCCCCAGCCCTGGTCGGGGTTGTGCGGTCGGCAACCATTCAGTGTGTCTCTCACATGTCAATGTTTCTCTCTCTCTCCTTTTTTCTTCCTCTTTTTCTCTCCCACTCTGTCTGAAGATAAACAGAAAAATATCCTTGGGTGAGGATTTAAAAAAGAAAAAATTTCTCAGTTTTATTTCCAATATGATAAACACTGATAGTAGATGTATCTCATTGAAAGAAGGCTCTATGAGGTCCTCAAGGTTTGAGAACCTCTGCTGTAGGGTATTCAAGTAGCCCTTTTTATTTCTATGTTTGATACATTTTTAGAAATTATTAAATGCTTACTTATAGGTTTTAGTAGTATGAGAATCACACAGATAAAAAATAACTTGAAGTCCTGTAGGTGGAAAAGTATATGGTCAAGAGACCTGAAAGGCTGTAGAAACTCTATAATTCCATCTTTGGGGGATACTGAAGAACCACAGTTGCCTATTAGACTTCCTCCGGTATAGCAAAAGGAGTCTACATTTTATTAGCTCTGAGGTATTGTCCTTAAACAGGACTAGAAGCTACTCCTCAGTCTGGTTTTCCTAATTCTGTATCCATAATTCCTTGCTGAAGTACTACAATTTTTTTTTTTAAGTAAGGAAGGTAGGCAGAGTTCTTGCTGAACTTATAAAAGATTTGAAGTTGGACCTGTAATAGTCCTTCATTTTTCATGGGCAACCAGCTTCATGAGATTGTATTCTATACATGGGGAGAAAAGCATTAACAGACATGTCAAGTTCTTGTAGTCTCAGAACACAAAAGGGGGTGTGAGTGAAGGCCAGGTCGCAGCAGTGAAGTGGGAAGCCTCAGAGGAAGCACTTACCGACAGACGAGCTCACCATCCATAGCATCTTGCTCATCAGTGCTGGCGAAAGAGACCCGGCCACCAATCACTGCACCAATGATATAAACCAGCCACGTCAGCCTTCCTGCAATAGGAACAAGATCCACTGTGTCACCTCCAGTGATTATTTCATGAAGAAATCCCTCACTGTGAGGATCATTTCTTACTAGGAGCTTCCTTGATCTTAAAAATACTATGGAGAAGCCATAAAGTCTTACTCTTACAGAGTATAGCTCCTACTCTGCTCTGGTATGGGTGATGCCAAGGGAGAAATTCATCAGATGACCAAGGCTGCCCTACTGGACAAGATTATTTTTAGATTGCAGTACTTTCTTAAAGTTAAATACAACCATTGCAGATGATTTTAGTTACTCTTCCCTAGTCCCCGGTGGCATTTAACATACACTCTTTTGTGTATATAGAGGTAACTGATGATGGAAGAATCCTGAGGGGAAGGTAGGATAGAGGTGGCAATGAGTGAAAGGGCACTGATGTCACCTGCTTACAGGCCCGGTGCACTGTCCACTCACCCTCCTGCACTGCAATATCCATTGGGCTGGCACTGGCGCTCTGCAGCAGCTCCTGATAGGACTGGGCCGACTGGTCAAACAACTGCACGAGGAGTGCACACGTCTTCTCGTATTCACAACGCCCAATTGTAGACAGCTGGTCCAACTGCTGCTGGACCAGACCTGTGTCTTCCAGAGGATCTTCCAGTCCATCCCTACTCCCAAGGGAAGAAATATGCCTATTGATTTCCCCATCTGAGCCACTCTTTCTTCTTCATTTACCCACTGTTTCCAACAGTAGTGGCCTGTATCACAACACTACTTGTAACCAAGAAAGAAATATGAAGAAAACTGGTATCTTCAACCTAAGCACCAGTCTCCCTTAGGAATATTTTGCTTGTTGGTGTCCAATCTTTCTTTTTTTTAAATCCTCACTTGAGGATTTTTTCCCATTGATTTTTAGTGAGAGTGGAAAGGAGGGGTGGAGTGAGAGAGAAACACTGATGTGAGAGAGACACATCGATCAGTTGCTTCTTGCACCCACCCCAGCCAGGGCCAGGAACTGAACCTGCAACCCAGGTATGTGCCCTTGACCGGGAATTGAACCCAAGACCCTCCAGTGCTGGGCTGATGCTCTAACCATTGAAACACACAGGCCAGGTCAGGTGTCCAATCTTTCAATTTGAATTTCTAGTCCTTAACATTTGTTGGCCTTGATCCCCTCATTCCTATGTTTCTCCACTCCAGGAGCTCTGGCCTTTGGCTTGTTCTCGACCACAGCAAACTTTGGGATGACAAGCACCCTGTCTCTTGAGTGAGGCCATTCTGACAAGATGTATTTTGGAATTCAGAAACCTTCAGGTTTTAGGGAGGCAATATGGTGCTTCTGTCATGTAATATGAACCCTTGATGGGCTCTGTGGTGTTGTCAAACACAATATTCCTATAGCAAAATGTATAAATATTACAAATAGTCATATTAAGTAGAATTTTTAAAAATGACAATAAAGGGTCCCATATCAGTGCATGTCAAGTTGTGCCACCAAATGAGTTTTGGTGCCAAACTTACGGGAAAATTTCGTTTTCACATCCTGGATTTCAGAATTACAGATGAGGCCCTGTGGATTTATACCAGGTCTTGCCTTGTCTACTTGGTTTGTAAATTTGAAAATCTTGATATATTATAAGCTCTCTGTCTATTATTACATCACAGCATGACCATCCCGCAGCAGCAGTACCACTGCAACTAACAGTTCATAGTGGTGTGTTTACCATGGTCCACAATCTTCATAACAGCCTTGCCTAAGAATACACAGCTATTAACTAGCTATCTGGGCTCAGAGCCCACACATGTAACCACTCCCCACATGGCTGGTCTCACTAAAACCGCTGACTCCTCAGGAACAGAAATGATATAGTTAATTAAGCAACACCTCCCAGTGGACTTCCAAAATTATCAGATTTTAAAATGACTCAAGTCATAAACAGTTCAGACTGTTATGACAATGAAATGCACTTAACTCTAAACAAATTAAGAATCCAACTTAAACCCAGATCTTCAGAATCCAAGTAAATTCCCGAGAAACAGCCAATAAAAAAATATATGGGTAGTCTTAAAAGTTCTTATCACAAGAAAAAAAAAATTATAACTGTGTAGTGCTGGATGTTAACCAGATTTATTGTGATCATCTTGCAATATATACAAATACTGAATCACTATGTTGTACATCTATAAGTAACAGAATGCTATATGTCAATTATACCTCAATAAAAAAAAGGTTAAATGAGGTCTTAAGGGTGGGGCCCTAATCCAATAGGACTGGTGTCCTTATAACAAGAAACATATAGAAAAATATAGATATATCTGGGTGCACACAGAGAAAAGGGCACGTGAGGACACAGAGAGAAGGTGGTCATCTGCAAACCAAGGAGAGAGGCCTCACCAGAAACCAACCCTGCTGGCACCTGGATCTCAGACCTCTGGCCTCCAGAATTGTGAGAAAAATAAATATTTGTTTTTTAAGCCAACCCCTCCCCACAAAAAAACACAAGAAACACAAACAAGAAAGTACCTAAAACAAAGAATAACTTAACTTTACGTAGGTCAGTTTTGAAAGGGTCTGACATTTCTTTAGCTATAGGTCTCTGGTATAGTTAATAGTTAGGGTGGACAGAAACCACATGTTAATGTAATGCAAACAGTGATCAGTTGCCTAGAATTTTTGTATCTTCTAGTAAATTCTAGATTGTGTAATTCCTTTTATGTAGTTAATATTTTAGGAGTTCACATTAAGCACCTATACTTTACATATTATAACACTTACCATCTACTGTCTATAAATGTTTCTCTCTTGTTTAAAGAAAATCAGTGACAAGGACAAACATTATACTTTGTAATCGAAGATATTGCTACTGATGGCAGTAACAAGACATGAATAGGATGTTAAAGACTATTCTTTCAGACTTTATGCTATTCTGTTGACAAAAAAAATTTGACCATTAACAGTATTAGCTCCAGTAACACTCCTATCAAATACATTTTTGCCAACTGGGAGTTTGATCTCTGGCAAGGCTACTGGGGGAAGGCTGTTCCAATGTCCTTACCTCAGTATGATGTGCACAGATTCCAAACGGGATGTGATGTAGGCTTTGGTGACTTCAGGAGTATAAGTTTCCAGCATGTGGGGCTCTGTGGCTTTCACATATGGCACAGAGGCTGCCAGCCGCTGCCATAGGCTCAGGAGATAGTGCACACTATTTGGGGCAAATTCCCAGTGCTAAGAAAAACCAAAGAGCAGGAGGCATATTTCTTATTTTTGTACACAATACACTAGTCCCATGCCACTTGACAAAAAGGAATAAAGACTTTAAAAAAAAGATAATCTTTTATGGGCTTTGTTCTGTGTATGGCAACTAGTCTAATGTGTTTATTAGTATTTCAGAGATTAAGCATCGAATGAGAAGAGCTGTGCTATGCTGGATGAGTAAAGCTTAACACAAGGAAAACCTTGGGTAAGGGGTTCTCAGCCATCAGTATGCATGAGAATTACTTAGAGAACATGTTAGAAACAGAGACACCAGGGCTCTATCCTGAACCTAGTGAACTAGAAATTATGGGGGTAAGATCCAAGCACCTGTCTTTTTCATCAAGCCCCCCAGATGATTTTGATGCAAGCCATAAAATCTAAGAACTATTCCCCTATATTACATAACTGAGAAAAAGAGGGCACTGACTCTCTTTACTATTCTGTCTAGCTCCCTGTTGCAGTCTGGTCTTCTGAGGGTGATTCTGAGGGGATTCTCTCTGCCTTGCTTCTAAGTATTATCCTTGCAACTCCCACATGTTCTTCTCCCAATACTTCTTGCACTTTTGTAATACTCATGTGTAGACTACGACAGTAACTACTCTGCAAGGTTACCCCTACATGTACTTATATTTACTTTTGCCAAGGGGGAAAAAATAGAACATTCTTAGAAGGTTAAAACCAATGAACAAGAAGAGCGGTTCTGAGTTTAGGAAGAAAGAGCCAAGCTATCAAAGACAAACCTGTAGGCTGGTCACTGTGAAGTTAGCTATCAATCGGATGACCTCAGGATAGTTTTCCACCTTTACTAATTCTCCCAGTTGATAGTTACTCTTCAGTCGGGCCAGTAGTCTGCAAAACTCATGGTAATTGTTTGGGTCTGATAAACTCTGGTGACAGCACAGGAGGAAAATAAAATGTAAAATGTGATGCACTATACTTCCGAATGACATTTGGGATGGCATGGAGGGGAGAATCTACTTCTGAGATGCAAGTGATTCAGAATGACACATCTGTATAATGTTTAAAAACAATTTTTTAAAAAGGATGGTCACATCAATTACCTCATCTGTTCATAGTTATCACCCTGTGGCACAAGCCTCGACTGATGAAACGGAAGCCCAGAAGGATCACACTATGGGCCTACAGTGGTAAAACTTATAAATGGCAGATAAGGGGCACGATCTAAGATGCAACTGGTCTGTTTGCTTCCCATTAGTTAAAGAAAACATAATGAAATTTTCATCTTCACATCTATGAGATGAATCATTAAGTACAATTAAACCACAGTAGCAGTTATACAATGTTTTATATATCATCATGGCTATAATTTACCTATTCCTATATTGTGTTTATACATTTTATTATATACTTACATCAAACTTTTGATTTGTTTGCATATTATACCAGCGTATTTGTTTCCTTATATATGTCTTCTTCTATTAGCACAGGAGGGCAGACTTTGTTTTGATACACGGTAGGTGTTTCCAAAATTTGTTGAATTATGAACTGCTTTAATGATATCTCCTAGTGTAGAGTGATACTTTAAAAAAGTAGGTGTTTGCTGGTGTGGTTTAGTTGGCTGAACATCATCCATGGACCAAGAAGTCATCAGTTTGATTCCCGGTTAGGGCACGTGCCCAGGTTTTGGGCTCGATCCCCCGTAGGGGACATACAGGAGGTAGTCGATTGATATTTCTGTCACTGATGTTTCTATCTCTACCTCTCCCTTCCTATCTCTCTAAAAAAATAAATTGATAAAAACATACTTCTTTTAAAAAGTAGGTGTTTACTAAATCTTTGGGCTAAAAAGGACAACTGAGTTATGGAATGAATATTTAAATGACAAATCTCTCCCTTTCCACCTAAAAGCAGCCCTATACACTTAAATAAACAATGTACATTAAAACAAATGAAAACAAAAAGAAAAACAACTTTAAATTCTCAATTTCTTGGGGGAAAATGACTATAGTTCTATCCTTATTTTCCTGAATACAGTGATCCTTTTCCACAAGTCCTGTATTATTGAAGCTAGAGGCACAAGCTCTCCCTTTGGGCTAATGTTCTCAAGAATTTTCTACAAATACTAGATTCACTTAAACCTTTTTAAGAACAACAGACTGAGCTATTTTCTGGGATTCCACAAAGTGTGACTTCTAGATAGGTGTGTGTGCGTGCGCACACACACACACAAATCATATATCACATACACACACACACACATATCTCATATCTATATTTAAATAAAAACAAATCCTCAAATCTTACCTGTGGATTTTCCAGTATTCGTTTAACACCATCAACAAGATGAGAGAGAAACTTGGCCCTCTCTGCATTGTTAAACAGGGACCTTCTGACCGAGGCAATCTGTACTAAGCAGGATAATACCTAAAAACAGGGCACAACTTAAACACAATTGATTTAAAAAAGATTGTACAGCTATTTTCATGATTCTTTCTGCTTGTATAATATTTGTATTTACATATGCCTCTAATTTTGTTCTTTTAACTGCTGCTACAATTATAGTAATATAGAAAGATCAAGGAGGATACAGCTTAGGATATCTGAAACAACTTCACTGAAAGAAAAAAAAAGAATATTACATCCAATATGATACCAACTACTTAAATTCACACTTTGGAAATTCCTAAAGTTAGGCATTATTCTTTGACCACCCCAATGGCTTCCTTGATTCTTGTTAAGATATATATTTTAGGCTTGAAAATACCATGCAATTCATAGTTTAAATAAAGCTTTAGATTCAGTTTCTTTCTGTTTCATTAACACCCTTTTGCCCTGGACTATTTGGCTCAGCGGTTAGAGTGTCAGCCTGCAGTCCAGAGACCCGGGTTTGGTTCCTGCTAAGGGCATGTACCTCGGTTGCAGTTTGTCCCCAGCCCTGGTTGGGTTGTGCGGGTGGCAACCACTCGATGTGTCCCTTTCACGTCGATGTTTCTTTCTCTCTCTCCCCCCCTCCCTCCCACGCTATCTGAACAAAATATGGAAAAATGTCCTTGGGTGAGGATAGAAAAAAAAAAAAGACCTGCCCTGGCCGGTTTGGCTCAGCGGTTAGAGCGTTGGCCTGCGGTCTGGAGAGACCCGGGTTCGGTTCCCACTAAGGGCGCGTACCTCGGTTGCAGTTTGTCCCCAGCCCTGGTTGGTCGTGCGGGTGGCAGCCACTCGATGTGTTCCTTTCACATCGATGTTTCTCTCTCTCCCTCCCACTCTACCTGAACAAAAAAAAAAAAAAAAAAAAAGACCTTTTGGCTAGTCAGGTTTTGCTAAGTTGTGTCTGGGTCGTAAAAAACCCAGCTTTTAGGCTGAAAACATTTTACCCTTTCCCTACTGTACTAGATATTTATACTCTCTGTCCCATCAGATCTATTTTCTACCCTTCTCCACCCTGCTCTGTTCCCTGGGAGGTTGACCTCTGTGACTAACAACAGCCAAGCTCCCCGGCCCTCTTGCTTCTAGCTGGAAAGTACCAGCAAGGAGATCAGGGAAGGAGGAAGAAGCGCCACCCAGACGGGCTATGGTTGGCAGTGTTTCTCTACCTCTGTTGTGCAGCCCTCCTCCAGGCCATAGCTTCAGCTTTCTCCAGAGCTCCCTACCTTGGCCCTTGAAGCCTCTCACAACTACTCACCCTAGGAAGCACAGTCATCACCTCTTGTTGGATCCCCTTAATTTTTCCCAGACCTTTATAAATAGTTTTTTCCTACAGTAAACTTAATACAAACAACAATGGCTTCATGTTTTGCTAAAGCAAAGGTCTAAATCAATTTGGAAAAGTACTATAATGACCAGGAAAGTAGTCCACTGTAGAAACACTACGCAAAACACCCATTACTTTACTGTTTTCTTTGTATATTTTGCACAATAGTATTTTAAACAGTATTTGTACATTTTGCACAACAATCTAGAATACCAGACCAACATCTTTTAGGACTTGGGTGAATTCTGTGATTTGAGTTTATTGCTTTCAAGGAGAAAGGATCATTCCTAAGAGCTTTCAGATGTTATTTGGAAATATGTATGCAAATCTGCCTTCCTATTACAGCTTCCATTTATCACTTATGTCTGAGGGATTTTAAAACTTTTCTCAGTCAGGACAACCTTTAGCTCAACAATATAATGTGACTACCCATACTCTAGCCTGTAGCAGTTTGAGGTATAAAGTCAAGATGAGACAAAAGAGCCTGACATTTGCAGCAATTTGTCATTAGACAGAAATTATTATAAAAGAATGAAGACTTTTTTACAAGAACTGTTACGCTATAAGCTTCACCTTGGCTAGCTACCAACTCTAGTATTTCCATGCTTTAGTTCTATGATTTTGTACAAAATGAACATAAGGCTCATTCACCACCAACACTTTCCAGAAATAGGTTTATTTTAGAAACTGACTCACCAGAGGTGAAAATGAAGGAGGGATGGAATGATACAGGTCAAAAAACAGCTGCAGAGTTGAAGAATCTAAGAATGCTGAAAGAAAGACACACAAGCACTTCACTGAATATGTCTGCACGCTGCTCCTGACAGACTGTTGGCACTATGTTAAGGAGCATGTCTCTCCGCTTTATTATCTTACACAATGCTTATGTCCTTTGAAAGTGATAAGGTACTAGGGGCTTTTTGTTTTCCTTTTTTAAAGAACTAGTTTCTAGCTCTTCTGAGAAGCAGATTCATTCTTCTGAGTCTCAGAGAACTTAAGACAAGCAGGGCTCTGTTCATAGCAAGAATTTTATCCTTAAGAACACACAAACATAAGCACAAGTTCTTTTGCTTAATTTTGTTTTTAAAGCTAGACATAACCTCAAATAAATAGCATAACAGAAGTCTCTAGGTGGTTAATGTAAGAAGGTCAAAGTCACATCAGTCAGTAATTCAGAATTCTTCCAGGCCGGGGTTCTGTAAGGTCCTCCAGGAACTCCCTTTGTAAAGACAGATGCTAAAATTCTAAATGTTTTATACAGCAAGCAAGGGACTGCCAGGGGTCCTTTAGACCATCATATAGATACTACGTAGAGCTGAGCGGCAGCCTGTTTCAGGTGGTGTGATTCTCTTACCTGATCTCCAGCTGGTGGGAATCTGTACTGTGCAGAGGTCATCCGAGGACTCATCAGTAGATGTGCCAATGAAATCAAAGTTCAGGCAGTTATGAGTGAGTTTGAGTAGTTGCATGAGCAAACCATGCTGACTTTCATCATTCAAGTTTAGATTCTTTCCAGAAGCCTGTAAAAATTACCATATAATGAGCCCCAAACAATCAATCACTCCTCTCTTCAAGCTTGCTACCAGACTCATAAGCAGGCTGTTGAGCCAGAAAAGGAGGGCTATATTTCCACACAAAAAGTGATGTTTCACCTGCCACAAGATGCTTGCTGTACTTCTATTACCTAATGCTACTATGAAAATCCAAGCTCCTTACTTATTATTACAGCATACTTACCTTAAAACATGAAACTAGTATTTAAAGAAGTCATCCTTTTCCATGTAGACATAGTGGCCACAGACAATCCTGAAGCAGTATGTGTGGTTACTTCATTTGCATGTGAAATTCTAGCTGTTTCTAGACAGGGGTAGGATTCATCTCTGGAAGGGAGTTCTAGTAAGTTTTATAGCCTGTCCTATTTTTCTTCTTCTTTTTAATATTATCATCACCAACATCAACAAAAATCTTTCAAACCAAACTTAAAATAAAATAACCACCGAATTTTATTTATTCACTGGCAGTTTACCTGCCGGAAGCTCAATACTGGTCCATTGCTACCGGGTCTCTCATATTCAAAGTTCATACCAGCTATGAACTCAGTGACCAGATAGCTAACTGTTTTTGATAGTATCAGTGAGGAGGATTCAAACCCCAGTTTTCTCAGAAGCTTGCCCCTCCCCCACAAGGGGGTACAACAGTTTTTTCCAGGCAACTTGCCCAATCTCAGGATTATGTGGGAATTCTGAGATAAGCAGGTAATTGAGAAAAAGGATGGACATTAAGTGGGATAACAAAGAATCCAAACTTGTTTCTAAAACTAAAACTGGGACATATTGAAAAATGAGAACAAGAACAAAATAAACCCAAATCCCTCAAATGAACAGAGCCAGAGGCTAATCCCACTGAGCTCTCTATAGGGACAAAGCAGCTAAACATTGTTATAAACGTGCAGAACATGTAAGTTAACATTTCTTAGTTCAACTCTATCAATAAATGAATTGAAAACAGCAACTATTTTAAAACGGGTAATTTCCCTATGTGATACTGCCTACCCCTCCAGGTTATGAAATCTAAATGGATGTTAAAATTTCAAAATCTGCTTTTCCTTACAGATGTTGCTTGTTTATTTGCTGCTTTTAGCTCAGCAGGGGATGGGGAATCAGCCGTTTTACTGTGCTAACAATGTCCTCTGAGCCTACTTTCTGAGCACTAAAGTTAACATGCCTTTACTCTGTATAGAAAGATTTTATGTGGGTATAAAAGAACAAACAACAGAACCTCAAACTTGATGGTAAACTAGATTCCTTTGGGATAGCAGCATAGGATAATGTTCCCTCACTGCTCTTACGTAGGGAAATAGATTGGAAATAGAAAAATCACAATCCTTTCTCCAACACCGGTGGTCAGTCTGGCAAGTTTTTTCAGTATCTTGGAAACAGGTATGTGAGAGGTGATGATGATGATGATAATTACAGAAATGCATAAATGCCCATGGGCTCAATTAAGAGCCGGTATCTAACAAGTGTCCACTCATTGTCATCCTTTCCAAATGAAATGGGAAGCAGGACCCAACCTACGATCTCACCTGTTTTAGTAAATTGCAGGAAAGTGTGAAGATATCAAATAATGATGAATCTCGGAAAGAAGAGGCTATTTTCCTGTGCTTGGTTAAAGGATGGGTGGTGTCTGCCTGTGCAAAAAACCAACAACAACAACAACAACAACAACAAAAACAATGCAAGTTTTAGAATTAACAGCAAAGAAAACATTTTTTCAAGCAGACTTCAAATAAAGTATAAAGATTTCCAATAAAAGCAACACAAATACAAAATATATTTTTAACATTTAAATTACTATTAAATCATATAAAATGAGAGGATACAAAGGATAATAAGCTGCTAACAGCCAGGATACCCTATTTCTAGAGCTTACAGAGGGAAAACAGAAGAAGAAATGAGTATTTCCATTGCAAAGTTTTTTAATTTCCTCTAGACTTCCTGTAAATACCCTCTTCCTTCTCTAACCTATTTATTTCTACATAGAGTCCAGACCACAGGAGTGAACACTTTAATTAAATGGTCGTACCAGTCAGTTATTCCTCTTTCTCATCTTTTCAGCCACATTTTAAAAGTTTTTGTGGTTAAGGACTGAACTTTTTACTTCTTTAGTATGTCCTCTATTCCTGACACATAGTAGGTACTCAGTAAGTGAAATTAAAAGTCAAGATTGTCAAGGGTATTTTTTTCCAATTGAAAGTTTAAATCTCTTCTATATACTGACCAATTAATTCAAGAGGAAGCTCATTTTGCTTTTGGCATATTAAAGAATAATGAGGCAAGATTTCTGACAGACAACCAAGCTATGGGCCCTCCTGATTTTATTTCTAAGTTCAAATAGGAATAGTAATAGAAATACACTTTCTGATTTGAATCTTAAAAAACCCACAGAAAATTAAGTGATACAGAGGTTCAAAATATTCCTAAATTCTAGCTTCAGTGTCACTGTGTTATCATAAATGTCATTGATAAATAAGCCATTGCTAGATTATACATCATATACCATATAATCTATTATGCTGATCATAATACTGAGAATAATCACATTAAGTATGTTACATACATTTGTATTGTTTTCTTAAGAAAGACAAGTATAAAATTTGGAAGTTTTATTATTTATTTTATATCAGCACTGATGTATTTTGTGAGGCTAAGCTTCAAAGGAGAGAACACGAATCCCACAATCTCTGTACTTAGTTAATGCATACTTTCCAACTACAAAGGTAACAATAGTTAAATAAGAAGTTAGTTATTAAAAGCACAGGCAGTGGAATAAGACTATATGGATTTGAATTCTGATACTATTGCCTGCTGTAACTACCTTAGACAAATTATTTAGCTTTTATGTACCTCAGTTTCCTTCTCTAGAAAATGGGATAACCATAGTACCTGTCTAGGTCTACTGTGAGAATGAAATTAGTTAATGTAAGTAAAGTGCTTAGAACAGTGCCTTTCACACAGTAATCACTCAAATGTATAAGCTTTATTATTATTTCGCTAATTACCAACCACAATGGGGATTGCATGTGACAGAGAACACAGTATGAACTCCAGATTCTAATAGGCTATGCAAGTGCATTTAAAATAGTACTTATTCATAGTTAAAATTTCTCATGGGTTAATAAAAATGTCTGTATAAATATGAGCAACAACAACAGTGATGCCAAGGTAATTACAAGCTGACAACTGAAGGGTGAGATATTACAACTAATATTAATACTGGCCTATTCAATAATACATTTTAGCTCAATACAAAAGTAAATGACTGAAAAAATAACAGCCAGAGCAAAAGAAAGTCACTGGTGTTTCCTCTGTAGTGATCTATATCATCAATGACTATTTAAAACATTGTCTAGTATTCAGTAGAATGTTTTCTGCATTCTGAAAAGATTACCAGCAAAATCTTTAATAATTGGACATGGTAATTAATTTTTAAATGATTATAAACACAGAGTAATGTACACAGCAGAAGGGACACACAAATGATGCTGGTTTCACTTTAGAGATTCCTTGTTTTGGACTCATTCTTTTTCATTAACAAAGAGATTAATTAAGGTTTTGACTTAGGACTATTGCTTGCATCTCTAACAATGAACATTAGTACCAGTGAGGAAAGCTGAGATGCGGATAAAATATTCTGGAGACAGAAGGGACCAGGACAAAAAGAGTGAGGTAGGTTGTACTTACAGAGGAAACCCCAATGCAACTATTTTGTTTCAAAAGGGCATTAATCACTTACCGCGAAAGCACACAACTGCCAAAAACGATCATCCCACACAGAGCAGAAAACACCAATACTAAGAAAAATATGGCACTTACTTCAATGAGGAAGGCTGTAGCACTTACTTGATTAATTTCATTGGTTAGCTGAGATAAAATTGTGACGCCAATGATGCAGTATTCAACACTATCCTGGTAAAAAAAAAAAAGTAAGGCAGAAAGAGGTGGTGTGTGCAGCTTGATTTCAGCTTTGGAAATGCAGTCGTGCTTTAGAAATGTAATCATGTGTCACTATTAATATTATCTAGACAAGGTAGCAAGGAAGTCGTTCAAAACGGCTGCTTTGCAGGACATAATACCTTAACTGCCATAAAGGAAGACTGCTAAATCTGACTTCACCAAATCGAAAGCTTTCATATTTCAAAACTACCCATAAGCACTGTACCATGCACATTATAAAAAAAGACAGTGCCAAAACACACTTAAGATAAATTATAAATGGCCCAGTCAGTGTGGCTCAGTGGTTGAACATTGACCCATGTACCATGAGGCCGCCAGTTCGATTCCTGGTCAGGGCACATTCCAAGGCTGTGGGCCAAATCCCCAGTGGGGGGCATGCAGGAGGCAGCCAATCGATGTTCTCTCTCATTGATGTTTCTCACCCCCCCCACTTCCTCTTTCTAAAATCAATAAAGGAAAAAATATATATATGCATAGTACACAAATAGAAAGTTTATAAAAAGACAAAAATCAAGTAGTAAATTAACTTATGAAAAATTGTTCCATCCCCTTCATAACTCAAATGCTAAGATTCCAATTCTTTTTACCCATTAAAGTGGAAAAATAAAAAAGTTGAGCTCCTAGGGTAGAGGCACAGGGAAATAGGCACCTTCTAATTATTGGAGAAAGCAACTATTTTTTAGTGTAATTTGGAAATCTCTTTAAAGCCAAAATACACATATCCTTTTGATTGAGTAATTCCAATAATCCCTACATACTTATTCAAAATACTGCAAGTTATCTATCTATCTATCTATCTATCTATCTATCTATCTATCTATCTATCTATCATCTATCTCCCTCCCTCCCTCCCTCCCTTCCTCCTTCCTTTCCTATCTACTCAGTCACTGAACTATTTGTTTAACAGTCAAAATATAGAAACAAACTAAATGCCTGCCCTCAAGAGATTAGTTAATTAAATTATGGTATTTAAGATAAGACTAGTACGTGGGCATTAGAAAGAATGAAGGAGGTGCTGACATGTAAACATATAAAGCCAAGACATATCAAGGGTAAGAAAGACACAGAACAGAATATACCAAATAATTCTATTTGGTGTACCTTTAAGAGAGTAGGATAGTATATAAGTAAGCATACAGATGTTGCTTCTTCCATTCTTATTACATTAAATATATACATCATACCTGTAAAAACCTTGTGACGTCTGTGATTGCATTTCTGAAGACGTAGTCATCCTTCTGACAGTCAAACCAGCCCAGCTTTGTGATTCTGGCATATAACTGAATAAGTGCTTGTGTCACGAAAGTGGCCAACTTTGGCCGAGTGGCAAGGTAGTTGAGTACATAGTTCCCTATAAAATAAAAACAACCCACATGATATAAAGCTCTACTAAGGAAAGTTGTACATCTTTAAATGTACTAAATGTCCAAGAAATAGTAAATTTATATTATTAACTTTATTTAATCCTCACCCAAGGATATTAGGATATTTTTCCACTGATTTTTTTTTTTCCTTTTTTGGTATGTGCCCCTAGTGGGAACTGAACCCAGGACTCTCTGGTCCACAGGCTGATGCTCCAACCACTGAGCCAAACCGGCCAGGGCTCCACTGATTTTTTTAAGGAGAGTGAAAGGGAGGGAGAGGAGATAAGAGAGAAACATTGATGTGAGAGAGACACACTGATGTGAGAGAGACACATCGACTGGCTGCCTACAGGGTCAGGGATCGAACCTGCAACCAAGATACGTGCACTTGACTGGGAATTGAACCTATGACTCTTTGGTCCGTGGGCTGGTGCTCTAACCACTACGCCAAACTGGCAAGGGCTATACTATTAACTTTAAACTCCCTTAATTCTTCACGCTACTGAGAAATGGAATGTTGAATTTAACATTAGTCAGCTTTCAAACTGAGAATTTATACTTGCCACAATGAAAAATCTGAAGTATGGCAGCCTTGAATCTACTCCTGGATGGTTAAATAACATGGGCTGCACAGAATTAAAAATCCTTAACAATATTTTTCTTAGTTATTAGTGGCAGTAAAGACTGAATTAAAGAAACTTTCTGCCCTGGCTGGTTTGGCTCAGTGGTTGGAGCATTGGCCTGTGGACCAGAGAGTCCCAGGTTCAGTCCCCGCTAGGGGTACGTACAAAAAAAGAGAGAGAGAGAGAAAGAGAGAGAGAGAGAGAGAGAGAGAGAAACTTTCTGACGACAAAAAGGGTTACTTAGGTTTTATCTAGAAGTCATTATTTTGGGCCTTCTTCACTTTCATAAGTTCAAATATCTGGGGGGAAAACCCTGGATTCCAGATTCTATGTGCTTAGCAATTTCAGAACATTATCAAACAACATAAATTTAACTATTACCAGCACATCACTAGGCAAACTAATTTCTTTAAAAGAGAACAGACAATTCTCTACTTACGAATATCTATTCGTTGTTCCAATGGTAGAGGGTTGTTTGTGCGTGATACAAGCTTTGTAAGGCAAGTAGCTGCCAGTAACTGGGAGTATGAGGACTGTGAAAAGAGGGGAAAAAGAATTAGAATTCAATTTGATTGAGTTAGCCAGTCATAAGTTTTTATTTATTTTTCTTTATTGATTTTAGAGAGAGAGGAAGGGGGAGGGAGAGAGAGATAGAAACATCGATGAGAGAGAACATCAACTGGTTGCCTTCTGCATGCCCTCTACTGGGGATTCGGCCCACAACCTGGGCATGTGCCCTGAAGAGGAATCAAATCGGTGACCTCCTGGTGCACGGGTCAATGCTCAACCACTGAGCCACACTGGCTGGGCATAAGGTTTTTTTTATTTGGAGATCTGTGCTCAGATTAAAAAAAAAATGGTTTTGCTCTATCGATCTTCCAGATTTTTGAGGGTCTATCCTTCTGAGGAAAGAAGCCTACAGAGCACATGTGGCTTTCAATCACAAATAAGGGGCAGGGTCAAGTGAACAGCCCGATCATGTCTAAGGGCCAGAGAGTCGAAGGGATCTTTTCAGAAAGATATTAATATTTTTATAAGACAAATCTCTTCTTTCATTCAAACCAAGAAATTTTTTTCCCATCAATAGCCTTGTTAAGTGATGTTTCAGAAGTTTCACCTCAAAAATATCCCCAAAGTCACCTGAAAATATTTCTCTAGTATGGTAGAAAGAAAAAAAGACAAAAAAGTATTAGAGGGAACCACCACATTATGCTGTATAGTTAGTCCCCAAATTATGTCTTTCCACCAGCACAGCTAGCAATAAGCTACAGCTTTGGAGAACATATATGTTAGTTTTAAAGTAAATTCATAACAATTATTTATGAGGAAAGAAAAATTATGGCCACAGCAATGGAGTAGCATTATGATGTTCTCAAGTGTGGATTTTAATGAATTTAACCTTATGGAGAATCAGAATTGTCTATCTGTTCATAAGGTGCAAAGAATTGTGTGTGAATTCCTCCATGTGGCTCTATTATACAATATCACATAACGGAGACAGACTAAGCACCATTAAAATAATTTAATCAAGGGTCAAGGATAATTGTCTATGAAACCAAAAGTCCTTAAGACAGTAGGCTATCCACAGGTATTACATAATATCACCAGCTATAAAAATATTCAAGCTTAAGAGAAAATCTATAAAAGTGACTTTGACATGTGACTTTTACTCAACACCCCTGAACATGGTTTAAACTGATTAGAGTGGGTAGGTCAAATCACTAATAATATAAGAGAGGCTACTATAATTATATAATATGGTGTATAACTATATACTATAAAACATGTAAATAGTCTTTACACATAATTCCAATAAATCTGCTAAATCACTAAGAAGTCAACAGAGATTAAAAAAGAAGAATCCAGTATAATTAAGTGTTTTTAGCATTGCACTGATCCTATTTTATTCCAGCCTGTGCACTGTCAACAGGAGGGTCTTGAGTTAACAGTGTCAAAGATGATACTATGGGCTCTGGGGTGTCGACTGGAAAAGCTAGCTGTGCATCTTCCATAGTCGAGTGATTGGAAAGAAATATATAAACTACTACATGTGAAAACAGAACAGAGTACCATGCAATCTCTGACCATGACTGTAACCTTCAGATACTTAGAAAAAGAGTTAGCTTCTCCAGCTACTAAAGGATAATTTTTAGACAACTGTAATTTGTTCTATTTACTGCATAATATTGCAATACTACTAATGAAAATTCAAAAATGGAGTCATCTAGAATTCTACCCTCTCAACAAATTAGTTACTTTCATTCTTTTCATATTTCCTTCCAGTCTAAGTATAGTACTAGCTGATAACCTGGTTGGGATTCTGACTCTCTCAATGCCCTTTCAAGATACCCTGGTTGGATTCTTATCCTTTCCAAGATCCCCATCTTGCCAAAAATATTAATCAAACTATGTTTCATATTAAAAGCATTATTTTGATCAGTGCACTGCTACTTTTAGCTGGAAGAAGCTCTAAGTCCTTTTTAAAACTAACTTCCAGTAATTTTCATTGTCAAGACCATTTCCCACCTATACTTCTAAGGCATAAAAAACAGCTGCAGTACAGAGGAGGAAAAACGGAGAAGACTGGAGATCCGGTAAGGTGGCATGGGCTTTGTGGATAAGAGAGGTCATTTATATACAGTCCTTTCTTCTTTGCAAAGAGGTAGTACTTAAGAGTAAATAAAAGAAAAAGAGTCCCAGAAATTAAGACACAAGATGAAAAATGACAAGACAAAATATATGTTCAACGAAATTTTACTGATGAGGCTATATGGTCTTCTTCTTCTTTTCTTCTAACCTGGCAAGTAAGTGCTTTTAAAAAAGTGAAATTAAGATGGTGGAGGCACATAGAAGAATCAAGGAATAGAAGTTATCCCAATCCAACCCTATACCAGAACATATTTTCTAAAACGTGTTATTATTCTTTAGGATTTTTCAAATCTTACGTACACTCCCCCTTTCAAGGAGTAGCTGGCACTTGCTCAGGCAATCGGGACTGTTGGTGAATTCAACCAAGGCTTTCTCTGCCTGGAGTCGAGTGGTTGTATCTGTGGTTTCATACAGCTGTTTGCACAGATTCTCTAACTGGGCCAGGCTCTGGAAAAGATCAGTCAAGAAAGAAATCAGTATAGACTACCACAAGCAAGATACTGTGCTAGAAAGTACTGGACAAAGATAAATAATAATCAATGAAGAGAGACTTGCTTCTCAACTCTGAGAAGCCAGGTGACCTTTATCTATCTAATAATATCCATTTATAGCTCTCTTTATTTGACACTTTAGAAGACAAAATGATAGAATGCATAATCAATCTATATATATTTTCAGTTACTCCCTTAAAGATCAATCAGTCATAAGATACATTTTTTGTCCTTGAAAATGCCCCTTCTCTTAAGTTTTTCCAAAAAGCTTTTAAGTAAAAATTCAGAATTTACTTGTTTGTCAAAATTGTGAATACTAGAGACACTGCTGTAAAATTAAGCAAATAAACACATACTATAGGTGTCACATGTATCTTTACATAGTTTTAAATATTTCCCCTTTGCCAAGTAGTTTTTAGTTTAGTTATATGTATGCATAAAGATGGCCAACCTCTCTGAGAAAGTTTCAGAATGCATGTACGCACCTTCCTTCCTGGGTCCCTCATGGCTAAAGTTCTGCAGACTCTCTTCCGTTGTACTTTAAACTCTTGCTTCAGTTCCAAATTTAAAATGGCAGGGTCAAAATAAATTCAAGCCTAGCATATGCTCACACAGAGATAAGACAAGGGAAACGCCCCCAAACAAACCCTTCTCTTCAAATCTTGAACCAGTTCCAAATAGGCAGGAAGGGGATGGGTGTGTGCTCTGGTCAAACCCCAGAGGGACACAAATCTACTTCTACTGAATACGGTGTTTAAAAGCAAAGAGGAAAGAACTAGTAAGAGTTAACTTAATATCACCTTTCCCTAACTGGAGAGGAGGAAACACACCTGTTAGTGTTTAAAGGAACGGTTTGGACTTTAAGAAGGAATCCACACCTATTTTCTACAGTAGCAAGCAAGACTTGGTTTAAACAGTTAGAGGAATCCTACTATTAGAAATGACAATTCTGACAAGAAAAAAAAAATTAAACAAACCAACCTTGGTGAATAGCCTAAAATATATTACACAGCCAGTCTGCTCAAGGCTTTTATTATTACTTAATTCACAAAGCTGTGACTATAAATCACAGCTTTTCCATTAAGCAGGAAAGCCCTTAGGGCAGGATACCTATTTTACTCAACATAATTAATAAATTTCAAACATTAAACTAAAGGAAACAAGAAAGACAAATACTGACACTCTAAGATCATTAGTCTCACTTCAGAGAGCACCCCCTACGAACAAACACAGCACCCCTACTTCACAACAAAACAAACAAACCACCCTTCACAACATCTTGGGTTCTGATTAGGCTTATGTTTAATTGATTCCTCTCTGACTTCCATTTATTAACTTCAATTCAAAAGCAGAGAAAATGGCGCTTGCAAAGGTCTCAAGGAATAAAACTCTATAAGCAATACCTGGATTTTTTTTACAAAGCTTATAAACACAAGGAATTAATTACATATATTCCATAAAATACAAGTGAAAGTCAGTGATCTGCTTGCCAATACTGGCTCAAGAGCCTACTGACAAATAAATCAGTTTAATTAAATTAAATCAGTTTAATTATAAATTCCTACATCTAAGTAAGGGATTAAATCTCCCTCACAAGGTTTTGTTTCAACCTAGCAGGCAAGTTTTTTCCCCTTTACCTATAAAATGGTTCACGTAAGAGGAATGGAACGAATTATTTAAAATACATGGAACACAGAAGACACAGCAGAAAGACATCCTAACTAAATGGAAAGATAGCTATACAATCTGGTAGTGGGTATTAGGGAACAGCAGCAGCCTCATAACCTCCACAGCCACCACACACTGAGCTTTCCCATACCCTGAATAGATTCCCTAAATAGTCATGCTGCTTAAAGTATAATGATCTCCTTCAAGTCTGATCTATCAGTTAGGTTCTGGTAGCATCTCCAGTGCAACACTTGTTTACGTTTAGTACAACAGAGTTGTTCACACGACAATGGCTAAACATCTGTCACCAGTAGTTCCTTACTGCCAAGAACAGGCATGCAGGTTATGGTGGGCATTTTATTGTTGTTTTGTTTTGCTTTAATTCAGCAGAGAAAAACATACTGCAGGGTAAGTCTGGTAATGAGTTTTCAGCTCAGGAAACAGACTGTTTAAAAAACAAAAAAGGAATTTGACCATCTACACAAACAGTTTAAAGAACTAGAGCTCTTATTTCTTTGTTTCCAGAAGAATGAATAGGAGACAATTTTGTTTTCCCAAACAATTAGTAGAAACATCTACAAACCACAGGGTTAGGAGTCATTATATTTGCCCATACTCCCCATAGAATGAAACATTTACATTATTTTGTTTTGGATCCTCATGTTCTCAAAGCAAATCTAATAGATTATTTTGAAACACCTTTTTCTGGACCCAGAATAAAATAATTTACCCTATTTGATTAGCTATTAAGACTAGTACTTTACATTTAGGGTAACAACAACATACCCCAGCATCTTCCCCCTTTGCTTGGTCACACTTGTATGAAAGAAACCTCCTCATTCACCAGTTCTTTAAAATATATTTTTTATTGATTTTTTTTTGGAGAGAAAGGAAGAGAGAGAGAGAAATATCAATGTGAAAGGGATACATCAATTAGCTGCCTCCTACATGGCCCCACTGGGGATTGAGCCCACAACCTGGGCATGTGCCCTGACTGGGAATTGAACTGACACCTCTCAGTCCATGGGAGGATGCTCAATCCAGTGAGCCACAATGGCTGGGCTCATTCACCAGTTCTTATTAAGGATGCCGGTTCAGTCACATAGTCACATAGAAGCCCCCAAGAAAAATGTCTACTTTCTATTCCTGAGACTACCAAACCTATAATCCACCCAGAAGCTTCCATCTGGTCCCACTTAAACAGAAAAGCCTATTTAGGTTAAATACTTCACAGAACTGGAAGGTGATTTTTAGCTAACAAAACACTGCCTTAGTACAAAAAACTCAAGGTGCTCAAACCCCCAAGCCTAGGCTACAATGATCTCACCCGCAATAGTTAAAATGAAGGTATTAAAAGAGTATCTCTTCTTCAATGTTTAGCAACATTATTTTATATAGTCTTTTAAGCCTGGACAGAGTAAATGTAGCTCAATTATTCTCTTTTTAATATAAGGTGCTATGAACCACAGAGTATAATGATTTATCTGAAGAGTTGCCTCTAGATTAGAGAAAATGAAAATTTTGTTCTACATTAGATGTTACACTATTCTACAAAGCAGAATCCTTGGAATTTATTTTTATTAATTTGTAAACTATGCTTAAAAAAAAAAAAATCCACTTGGAGCTTCACAATCAGAGACTAAGATATTTGTTTTGTGGAATGATTTGATGACATTCCCAAGAAATGCCGACTACTGAACTAGAAAACAATCATAACCCTTGGATGACTAGTGGGATCTGCAGGTGCTCTGCAGAGCACAGCCTTAATTCTGATAGCTATCTGGACCACATGAAACAATCAGAAGCCACCATCTATTACAAAGTATAAAGTCAGGCTCAACCTAGAAGAGTTCTCATGAAGAGGACGTATAGAGTAGAACCACCAAGTTAATAGCTGGATTCTCATGATTTGGTTGCCTTAAATATAAAAAGAATTGCTGAGGGGAAAAAAAAAAAAAATCAAGCCACTTGCAACCTGTTTATAAACTCCATAAATTTAGATCTTCCTTAGTTGGAATTTTCCTGCGTAGTAGAACACTGTGTTAATTGAAAGAGGTATACTGAACCAGCCAGAAAATGAACCATTTTAGAGATCCATAAGAAATGTTTAAAAGGTGATATACTAATTCATTTTATTTTTTATCTGTTCAACAAGGCATTCTTATTGTCAATGAGTAACCAATTATCAAAGATACTATTTTTAAAACTCCTAAACATTCAGTGACAATAATTATTGAGAGGTTAAAAAAAAAAAACAAGTGGCAAAACACTATGTAGAGTATGCCATGTGTGATATATGTTAGCAAATTCATAGAAGAAAATCTGGATAAATATAAACCAAACAATTATCTCTGGAGGTGAGACTATCAATTTCTATAACTTTTGAATTTTGGGCCACAACCATATATTATTACTTGTAAGCAGGGAAGAAAACTGACAACTGTACAGTATATAGATAGGGCAAATTTAAGCTACATTCTTTTTCTATTTTAACTCTTCTAATTAGTAACATATTACTAAATAACAGCTGATTCTGTTTCCAATCAGAATTCATAAAACAAAAAGATTAAAAAACTTAAAAGTATGTCTATGTTTATTACCATTCTTATTTTGTTTTTTCTCACCAATAATAAATGTTGATGGTTTAAATGGCCTAAAAAGAACATTCCATGCAAGGTTTTCTCTTGTTTCTAACGTAATCTAGAAGACAATCTAATCTTGTAGGCTAAAGCTATTTTGGTTTTATACATAAATCAGCAGATCTCTACTCTTGGATGTTACTTACTGCAGAGGGGTCAATGAGGGGAAAGAAGATGGCTGTCTGAATCAGAATGTTTACATACGTAACCTATTTATTTTATTATTATTTTTTTTTATCCTCACCCGAGGACATTTTTCCTTTTTTTTTTTTTGTTCAGGTAGAGTGGGAGGGAGAGAGAGGAACAGAGAGAGAGAGAGAAACATCGATGTGAAAGGAACACATCGAGTGGCTGCCACCCGCACAACCGACCAGGGCCGGGGACAAACTGCAACTGAGGTACATGCCCTTAGCGGGAACCGAACCCGGGTCTCTCAGGACCGCAGGCCGACGCTCTAACCGCTGAGCCAAACCAGTTAGGGCTAAACTATTTATTTTTAAAAGTTAAAGAGGATCCCTGGCAGGTTTGGCTCAGCGGTAGAGCATTGGCCCACGGACCAATGAGTCACAGGTTCGATCCTGACCAAGGGCACATACCTCGGTTGAGGTTTGTGGTTAGTCCCTGGCTCTGGTTGGAGTCGTGCAGGAGGCAACCAGTCAATGGGTCCCTCTCTCGTTGATGTTTCTCTTTTTCTTCCTTTCTCTCCCTCTTTCCCTCCTACTCTATCTGAAGATAAATAGGAAAAAAAAAAAATCCTCAGGTGAGGATAAAAAAAAAAAAAGGAGTTAAAAAGGACATCCAAATGGCCAACAACCAATGAAAGGTGCTTCAGTCAACAATCCTCAGGAAATGGAAACTCAAACCACAATGAGATACCCATTAGAATGACTAAAACGAAAATGCCAAGACCAAGTGTTGGTGGAAATGTGAAACAAAGGGAACTCATACACTGCCAGTGGAGTCTGAGTTGGTTCAAACACTTTGTAAAACTGGCAGTAGCTATGCAAGTAATCATACTGACACCCTATAACCCAGCCATTCCACTCCTGGCTACACACCCAGCAGATATGTGTGCTAAATTCACCAAAAAAACACAGACAAGTGCCCTGACCGGTTGCTAAATGGTTAGAGCATCAGCTCACAGACCACAGAGTCGCAGGTTCAATTCCGGTCGAGGGCATGTACCTCAGTTGTGGTTCGTCCCTGGCCCTGGCTGGGGTCGAGCGGGGGGGCAACCAGTTGATGTGTCCCTCTCATGTCGATGTTTCCCTCTCTCTCCCTCCCTCCCACTCTTTCTGAAGATAAATGGAAAAATATCCTTAGGTGAGGGATAAAGAAAAAAAAAACATGGACAAGAAT